TCCATAGTAGAGCACTTGTCCAGCCTGCATGAAACCCTAGGTTCAATCCCATCACTTAAAAAAAGTATTATAGATACATAACATATACATTTATGCCTCCTAAACTGAGAATTCCCTAAAGGGAAAGTTTGTCTTTTTTCCTTATAAGTCTTATAGTGACTGGCATTTAATAGGGACTTATTACATGTTTGATGAAGGCAGAATAAATGAATAAGATTTTAGCACTACATCCAGGCACTATTCTAAGATTTACAAAATCAATTCATACAGTCCGCTTAATAAGTTTGTGAGGTAAATACTATTATTTTCTCTGGCTTTTCTGATGAGGAAACTGAGGACCTAGTTTTTTTTTTTTTAATGCAGGCACATGTATCCATTAAAGGTCCACTCAAGACCACAGGAAGTGCCACCATTTTAAGGGAGTGGAGACCCACTTTCCCTGCCAGACCCTGCCCTTCTCTTCTGATGAGTATAAGAAGTCATATAGGGCTGGGGTGTGACTCAGTAGTAGAGTGCTCACCTTGCATGTGTGAAGCCCTGGGTTTGATCCCCAGCACCACATAAAAATAACTAAATTAAATAAAGGTATCATGTCCATCTACAACTAAAAAAAATTTTTTTTAAGTCATATAAATAAAAAAGATTAATCATTCTTTTTTTTTTTTTTTTTTTTTTTTTTTTTTTGGTACCAGTGAATAAACCCAGGGTTACTTAACCACTAAGTCACATCCCTAGCCCTTTTTTATATTTTATTTAGAATTAGAAGCAAGGTCTCACTGAATTGCTTAGGGCATCACAAAGTTGCTGAGGCTAGCTTTGAACTTGCAATCCTCCTGCCTCGACCTCTCTAGCCACTGCGATTGCAGGTGTACACCACTGCACCCTGCTTTCCTTTCTTTCTTTCTTACTGGGGATTAGACCCAGGGCCTCATGCATGCTAGRCAAGGAATATTGTTATTTCAATATTTGTCTACCCCAGGAGCACAGCAGGCCTCTACTGGGAAAGTGGGCCAGGGTAGGAATAAGGGGAGCTCTTTTCCTACTCACCTCAACGTCCTTTCTTCCTACCCAGAGTTTGGCCCTGTCTTTACAACCAGTGATCCTCACAGCTTCTGGCAGCGACTAAATGAGATCCACGCCTTGGGGGGTGGAGATGAGCCTGAGATGTGCCTATCTGCCCTGGAGGTCTGACCCTTCCCTTTCTCTTCCCCTTCCCACTTGTCCTGCCTTTTCCAGACCCTGCCACCAGAGGGAGATAGAGTTAGAATCCTCCCCAGCCTCTTCCACTGGACCCCTTCAGAACCTAGCTCTGCTAGCCTCACTCCAAGGTTCCAGGGTCATATTCCTTTCTACTCTGTCCTCCCTGGCTCTGTCAACTCCCTGCTGCTGCAGTTCTTAACACTAGCCCTTTTCCTCCCTGGCAGCTAGCCCTGCTTCACACACCTCCACTTTCAGACATCTTTGTCTTCACTGATGCCTCCCCCAAGGATGCCTTTCTCACCAACCGGGTGGAATCCCTGAGTCAGGAGCGTCGGTGCAGGGTGAGCACAGCTGGTGGGAGACCCAGTGATAGCCACCCAAGAATAGAGAGACCCTATGACAATAACCTCATAACAACAGTGACACAACACTATGGTGGTCAAACTAGCCATACCTTTAGCAATAGTCCTATCCTTAATGCTGCTGAATTCATATTTGAACCAGCACAGTAAAGTATTTAAAGAACTGGAAAACTAGTTGCTAAAATTCCACCATGAAACGTGGTGGTTACAAAGGGGCAGCCAACTATTGAGGGTCAGAGGGTTGCATCATTAGGAGACTGGAAGCAGCTGGAGTATAGAGGGAAAGATTTTATCACTAATCAACAAAACTAGAGAAATTCTGAGCAGAAAGGATCCTTATTTATAATACCAGATGGCACTTGGACACCCCAAGCATTGGACTGTCTTATGGCCACAGGTGACATTCCTGGTGACTGAAGACCCATCAAGGGTTCAGGGTCGAGCTCGGCGTGAGGTCCTATCCCCTGTGCGTTTTGAGCCATATGAAGCAGTGGCCCTGGCCTCAGGAGGAGAGGTGATCTTCACCAAAGACCAGCACATTCGGGACGTGGCAGCCATTGTTGGGGAGAGCATGGCTGCTCTGGTAAGTAGATGCCAGAGGGCCTGGTGCCCTCTGTTCTGGGCTGAGAAGTGTGGTGCTGCTTCTCACTTACGCTTTGTTGTCATTCATTCAGAAGTGTGGACAAGAAAGTTTCTTTCCTTCTGAGATCCATGGCTGTCTTTTTTCCACATTGCCTTTTCAGATTAATAAACCTCCCTTCCATATGGCTTCCAGTGCCTCAGGGCTGTCACAGAAAGTTCTTCCATCTTTTTTTTTTTTTTTTTTTTTTGGTGGTGCTAGAGATTGAACCTAGGGCCTTGTGCATGTGCACTCTACCAACTGAGCTTTATTCCCAGCTCAGTCCTTCTTCCATATTTTAAGGGCAAACAAGTAGTGACTGCCTCATTCTGAACTCTCACCTCCAGCTTTGTTGTTGAACATAATAACTGCCCCTCATTAGTATTCCTTCTCCTTGTGTGACTTGGTGTCTTTCTGTCTCTGCCTTTCTCTTTTGTTCCTACTCATTCCATGCCTTACTTTCTCCCCTACATTTTGGTCCTGTCCATTCCCCCAAGGTGACTCTTCCTCTGGAACCGCCTGTCATAGTGCCTGGCAAGCCACTTGTGTTCATTGTTGATGGGCTGCTCCAGAAGGTCACAGTCCGGATGCATGGGGAGATCAGCAGCTTCTGGATCAAGAACCCTGCTGGTACCTCTGTGTGTGGTTCAAGGCAGAGAGAAAAAATGTAGATGGAGAATGGAGAACTAGGGGGGATGTGCTAAATACAGGGCTTGTTTCATATGACAATCTATTATCCCCATCCCAGGAATATTCCAGAGCCAGGAAGAAGGTATGGGTCCTTTGGGTCATACTCACCGCTTTGGGCAGTTCTGGATGGTGACCATGACTGACCCCCCACAGACAGGGACTTGGGAGATCCAGGTCACAGCTGAGGGCACTCCCCGGGTAAGAGTGCAAGGTAAGGAGGGAGATGTTCTTGGGAAGGGAAGGGAAGTTCTTGGGAAGGGAAGGGAAGTTCTCTCCGGGCTCAGAGAACAATCTGAGGCACATTCCTCTCAGGAACCTCTCTGACTGCCTTCACCCTCCCCCAGCCCAGACCTCCCTGGACTTCCTCTTTCACTTTGGTATTCCCATGGAGGATGGACCCCACCCTGGCCTTTACCCTCTGACTCAGCCCGTTGCAGGTACATCTATTCCCTGTCTACCCCCAACTCAAGTACATTATGTGTGTAAATGTATGTGTACGTATGTATAAGCATGTATACTTATATAAATATACATACATGTGTACACAGACATACACAGACACATTATGTACACATTTTTATTGAGTAAAGAGCCATAACTAAATGTACAGCTTTGTGGATTCTATATAATACACCATGTGACCTCCCCTTCTTTCCCTTCCTGTCTCAGGTCTCCAGACCCAGCTGCTGGTAGAAGTGACAGGGCTGGGTTCGAGAGGCAACCCTGGGGATTCTTCCCCACATTTCTCTCATGTCATCCTCAGAAGGGTTCCAGAGGGCACCAAGCTGGGTCAGGTGCCCTTGGAGCCCTTAGGACCCCCAGAGCGAGGTCTCCTCACAGCTTCACTGCCACCTACATTGCTGTCCACCCCCGGACCCTTCTCCCTGGAGCTGATTGGCCAGGATGGAGGTGGGCAGGGCCTGCACCGGATTGCCCCGCAGCCTTGCACTGTGGCCCCTGTGCTTCTGGAGGTGAGACCTCAGGGGAAGGTCCCGGCTTAGGTTGGTGAGAATTTACGGGCTTCTCCCCTGACTGGCCTTTCTCTGTAGCTCAGTGGTCCCCCAGGTTTCTTGGCCCCAGGCAGCAAGGCCCTGCTCACCCTCCGCATCACCAGCTTCTCAGTCCCTCAGGATCTTGATATTAGGATATCTGTCAACCCCAGCTTTGCATTCACCTCCAACCTCTCAAGGTGAGTCCTCTGAACCCTCCTGCTGGGTTCTGGCCCCACCTGTTGGTTCTAGGGGTGTGGCCCCACGCTCTTCATTCCAAACCCTGCCCCTGAGCCCTTCCCATTAGCCCTGAGAGTTCCCCATCCTCTTTCCTGCTCTTGGCTCACCCCTAGACACTCAGCCATTGGGAGCTTTCCTTGGAGCTTTAAGCCCCATGTTCCTAACCACTCTCAAGGGCTCATCTGGGGCTGAATGAATCCGCCTGGGGGTGCCTGTGGCTGGAAGTCCCAGACTCAGCAGTCCTGGACTCGATGGTGATGGTGACTGTGACTGCCTTGGGTCGAGAAGTCAGCCTAATGCCTCCCACCCWTGCCTTCCTCCGACTCCTAGTACAGGCTCAGACCCCACAGGTGAGGTGCTTTCACCTTCTATCCGAGGAGAAGCAGGGCAAGAGGAGGGCAGTATAGTTTTAATTTGGACAAAGCTCTACCACACCTGACCTTCCCTTCCTCTCCTCTCAGGACCAGCTCTCTGCCTCATCTGGGCCTGTTGTCACCACCACCACTCCTGTCTTTCGTTCCTCCACTCTGGTGACTCAGGGAAGGGCTAGGGGAGGGAAGGTAGGCAGACCCTGGTGGGGTACTGTGGGAGGTGTACTACTCCTGCTAACCCTGGCCTCCTGGTGACAAAACAGCACCTAGAGGAATGAGTCTCTAGCTTTTCAACCTGCCCCACTGGTGAAACCATGAGATAGGCCTCAGGACTTTATTTCTCCCAGCTGGATGGGTGTTTTCTTTCTCTGGCCCTTGTCCCTTCTCTTTCTTTTGCACTGTTGGGGACTGAACTCATGGCCTCAGGCATGCTAGGCAAATGCTCTACCACTGAGCCCCAGCCCTTTCTATTTTTTATTTTGACAGGGTCTTGCTAAGTTGCCCAGGCTGGCCTCAAACTTGTGATCCTACCACATCAGCCTCCTAAGTAGCTAGGATTACAAGCATGGGCCACTGCATCAGGTTCCTTTTCTTTCTTAAACATCATGAGGTTGGTGTTTTCAGTGGTTAGAGCACTTGCTTAGCATGGTCAAGGCCCTGGGTTCCATACCTAGCACTCCAAAAACAAAAAACACCAAGATTGGGATAGAAGGCAGTGGATTTCCTGGCAATGCACTTTCTATAACCCTTATGGGAATGAAACCAAAGATATATATATATATATTTTTTTTTTTTTTTTTTGAGAAAGTTGATCTCTATTTCTCTGTAGCATCTGGAGCATTAACTAGTCATGCTCTCCCAGGCTCAGGTAGATAGATATGTGGGGAGGAGACTAGTTTTGGAAGGAGGTAAGTGCCAGGAAGCGTTATTTATACAGTTGTTTTTATTTTAAACTCTGGAGCAGCTTCTATTTTATTTTTTCTATTCAAAGCTGAAGGATGGTTTCAATGAACATGTCTTCTCCCCTAAGGGATTTCAAAGAAAGATCATTTTTGCATATCATATATAGAGAGTGAGGGCATGAGACATCAAGAAAATGAAATGGAAATTTTTAGGAGTGGAGGATAAAATTATACCAAGGTATATGAACTTTGTTGACCCAAGAACTGCAATCGAGTTAAGACAGAATAAGGAGAGGAGGCTGTCGAGTTAAGACAGAATAAGGAGAGGAGGCTGTCGAGTTAAGACAGAATAAGGAGAGAAGGTTCTGCTCCTTCACTAGATTGAGAAGGGTTTACACAAGGGTAGGGCCTCTCTGCCCCTGGAGACAGCTCAGCTGAGCCATCTCCTCCTGAGACTGGATGTTTCCTTTCTGCTGCTTTGATAACTCCTGGTGAAGAAGAGAAAAAGAGACTGAGCATCTGAATGTTCCCTACCCCATGGGGCCAGAGCTTCTGGGGAAAGACCCCCCAATACCTGTTGCTGCCACAAGTTCTGCTTCCACGGCTCTTCCTTCCAGTTCTGGGTGGTACAGGAACTGTCCTTGTTCAATGGATGTGGGGAGAACTGGTGATGGGATTCACTGTGAATTCCGTTAAACGAGATACTGACCCCAACAGTATCCCTCTCTCTCCCATTTCCCAAAAGTCTAAACTAAAAACAATAAACTCACCTTTCCTTGAATCAGATTCTGCAAACAGATGTTCACTTTTTGAATTTGGGCTAACTGGGGGCCGCCAGGCTCTGAGTGTAAATCTGTTAGAAAATTCTGAAGGAGGAGTTGGAGGCTGACAACATGCTGTCACTCGTATGTCATCACAGGCCACTCCTTTCCTCATATGGATCCCCTCATCTTGGTATCCTTCCAAGCAGTTGGAAAAATCCAGTACTCTCCATCTCTTTGACAATGCAATCCCCATCCCCCTCAAATAATATAATCCCCCTTTCCCCTGTTCTTTATGGATCTTCCCTATCCATCCCTACCCTATTGGAATAACCCAGGCCACTCCCCCACTCCATGGAGTGATCCAAATCATGTCCCTCTGAATGGAATGCAGACCAACCTCCTCCAGCATGAACAATGAACAGGACCTAACACTTGGTGGCATCCTGTCATTTCAATGTTGCCTCCAATTCATGATCCCTATGCATTAACTCTCCCCTTTCCAGAGTGGTCTCAGACCATGTCCACATACTCCCTGCTCCTTCCTCCCCATCTCTACTGCCGGGGCAGTCCCTACCTCACCAAGGGCTCCCAGATGCAGCTGCTGTTGCTGTGCCTCCCTCAGATGGTCTTCAAACCAGGCCCGGCCATGTTCCAGCAGCTCCAGGCCCTGCCACAGGGCATCCTGCTCTCTCTCCAGAGCCTGCATCCTCTGCAGCTGGGTCACACAAGAAGCAGAGGCTAACTTGCCCTACAGCAGGGCTGTGGCCATGGCCCATTGCATAACCCCTGGCTGGGTTCACTGGTTACTGAGTGTAAGCCCAGACAGTCCACTGAGGACCTAGAGGTCAAGGGGAAAAGACCTTACTTCTGTGGGTCCCTGGAGTTGAGTAGAAATATAAAGGGCAGATCTGAGGAAAGGGATCTCTTGTTGGGCTAGTACTTACCCAAAGAAAAAAGCTCTGGGCCCCGGGGTCTTCTCGGCTTGTTCCCAGTGGCAGCAGCAGAACTGTGTAGGGAGCCTGTGCCAGGGGCTGCCCACCAGAACCCTGGCTCCCCATGGCTCTGAGGTGAGGAAGGTGCAGCCACTCCCTCTGCTGTGGCCTGAGCTGGTCCCTCCCCTCTACTCCTCCCTCACACCCTTTCTGCCTCTCTGGCCCCTTCCTGTGGTGTCTGTCTAAGGCTGAGGTGTTCATAGATAAGGGGGAAAACCATCTCTCTTGGACCCCTCTTTCATTTCTTTATTCTGTTTTCACAGGGCCTTTCTTAAGTAGCTTTTTCTCAAGAAGTCTCCTGGGGAAGAATCTGAGGGTCTTCCCATAGCAGTGTCAATGTACTTTTAGTGAGGTAGGGCAGGTTCCTCTGTGGAATTCTGCTTGGTGCTTCATCTCTGTCCTATTCTCCTGTACTGTTTTGGATTGCCTAAGGAAACAATAACATTATCCAAAATAAACTTTATTCCTAACATGAAACAAAATTTCTACAGAAATTGAGAACTTTGGGTCTAAAGGAGATAAGAAAACCAAAAAGGCATTGCAGCCCCTGGGTCTCAGGTAGTTGGGGAGGGCAGAGGAAGGACTCAGAGGATGGTGGTGGCAGCAGGCAACACTTCCTGACTCATGAAAATGTCCAAGTCCAGGCTGGGATCTTCCAAATCCAGTTTCAGAAACTTGTCCACTAATGTCTGGCAACTGAAGTGGGGAAGAGAATGGTGAGATTTATGGAAGAACAGTTAACTGAGTCCTTGAACAGAGGGAAAAGGCTGTGGCACAAGAAACCTATGACCTTGAAGATTTAGGAGTTTGAGGAAGAAGGAAGGAGTCCTTGAAGGGCACAGTACTGAAGGAAGGCTTCCGAGCCTCTGTGAAGGGGAGAAGAGCTGCAGGAGAAGGCATGAAGAGACCAGGCCGAACACTCACTTTTGCATTTGGTTCTCCTTTAACAACTCCTTCACAGGCTTGATAGGTTTTCCACTGCGGATCAAGTCTGAGACCTAGGGACAGGAAGGAAGATGGAAGGGGTGGGGAAGAAGAAATTAGGATCAGAAATCCTGTGGGCCCAGGAACCCAGGTGTCCAAGAGGAATAGGAACCCAGGTGTCCAAGAGGAAGGGACCCCTGAGGCAGAGGTAGTTGGATGCATGGATCTCTTCACCTCTTTGCCACGAGCAATGAGTTTTTCAGGAAGCCCTGCCTGGGCAGCCGTGTGGGAGGCATAGCTGGCATTGGCAACTCCTCCGCAAACCTGATAGAAGAAGATAAGGTCGTTCCCATCCTCACAGGTCTCCATGGTCTTAAAGAGAATAAAAGGGGGAAGCACATATCATCAATCCTGGCTTCCTACCCTGAAACCCTTGGCCAGTCCCTGTGGGAACTAATAAGAAGGGGAGTACTGGAGCCCCCACTCTAATGGAAGAGCCAGTCTCACTTCTGGGAAACACTCAAGGGAGCCCTAGGAACTATATTGATTTCCTCACCAAATACTGCACCAGGGGCCCTTGTGGCAACAGCTGTAGTTGAACAAGACTCAGAAAGTTGGTGGCCACAAAGATGTGGGGGCACATGGGTCCAAGCACCAACCAGTGTCGGAGCACAGCAGCCAAAAGTGCAAGCCCATCCACCTGCAAAGGGCGGGGAGAGGATGTGAAACCCACCTTCCCCTCTGCTTGTGCCCTGGCCTTTCCCTCTCCCGTCCTTTCTTTTCTGCCCACACATCCCTATTCTTTCCCCTCCATTTCCCCTCCTTAGTTCATCATCAGTTTCTCCCCTCACCGTGTTGGTTCCCTTTCCGAATTCATCAATAAGAACCAGAGATCGCTCAGTGGCATTATTCACTGCTTTTGCCACCTGCTGGACAGGAGGTGGACAAGGAGAGTTTCATTAGCATTTGAAGCATTTACTACTAACCCTAGTCAGCCTGTGAAAGAGTTGTTTATATGTGTCCACCCTACTGCACTACAAGTTCTGTCATGGTGAAATGCATGTTTAGTTCATCCTTTCATTGTCAAATGACTCACACAAAGCAAAGGTTCAACAAATGTTCATAGTGTTGTTTATGACCTGGATGCTCCCTGCCCCAAGTATTAAGGACATGCAACAGAAGGAATGCTTTCCTCAGATCAAATTCCTTCCCCATTATCCCTTTCCCTGATCCCACCTCCCTTTACTCCCTTTGACCTGATTGAGGTCGATCATGAAGGTGGAGAGGCCAAGGGAGATGGATTCACAGCTATGAATTCGGGTGAAGATGGCATCTACTGCCCCAATTTCAGCCTCCTCTGCTGGTACAAAGCTGCCCACCAGGGCCATGAACGTGATCAAGCCTACCTGAATAGGGGAGGAGACAGGACGTGGAGTCTCATAGTGTGGGCTGAATAAAAAGCAAGGCTCAACTGAAGGCATGAATGATAGATCAAAGAAAGATGGACAAATGTAATAGAAGAAAAAATGTATAGAACACACTATCTAGAATCAGCCAAGAGGTATGGGGAGTGGGTGGAGGCATACTTGGGAATGGCATGTACCTAGGTAGAGGGGAGTGAAGGAAGGTTAGGCCATGGAAAAATCCATTAGAATATAGCTGTTCCTTAGCTAGAAATGAGAACATGGAAGTAGAAGAGCAGAGAACCTCAGTTAGTTGGCAGGTGGGGGTGAAAAAGATGTAGAAGATGCCCAAGGCTCAGGTTGTAGGACTCCTTCTCACCTGTTTAAGGTATATGCTCTTTCCTGAGGAATTGGGTCCAGTGACGACTTTGACCCTGCCTTTGTCCCCACCACATTCTGCAGAATTGGGCACAAAGGTTCGGGCACATAGTTCCATCAGAGGATGTCTGTAGTGGGTGGAGAGGTACCTTACATGGTCCATGATCCAGACAAATGAACCCTCCAGAAGATGAGGCCTTTGCACACCTTTTATCTATGCCTCCAACCCCCTCTCCTCTCACCTGCCATTATGGATTCGTACCCCATGGAGCTGGGGGGAATAATGGGGCCTTGAGTAGCCATAGTCCCGGGCAGCACTGGCAAGAGCCAGCAGGGCATCCAGGCGGGAGGCAAGGTCCAATACTCGGGTCAAGACAGCTGCCCTTGCCAGCACCTGGCACTGCAGCTGGTACATCAATAGGGTTTCCTGGTCTGGGAGTGGGTGAGGAAGGGAGCCAGGGGTCACTTCTAGGAGAAAGTGAAGGAGAGAGGCCCACAGAGGGTCCCGAAAGCAGGCATATAAATTCAGTCTGAGACTCCCAGAGACATTCAGAGAGGAATATGTAGAGTCAGAGTGAAAGAGAGGCTAAGAGCAGAAAGAAAAGGGCCTATTGGAAGCATTACCAAACTCCAGCTTCTTGGTTTCCTCACCCCGGATCTCACAGTGCAGGTCCCCGAGCAATGCATCCAGCTCCTTGGTTCGAGCACTGCGATAGTGCAGCTTCTCCTCTGAGAGAAACTGGGTACAAGGGTTAGAGCTGTGAGCTGTGCATCTCTTGGTCCTCCTCTCCTCTCCCACTTTTCTAGCTGTAACTACAGTGTTCTGACTTCTCTCTCCTTCATCTCATAACTGGTAGAGCTCAAAGTAAAACTACAAAGAAGAAGCCAGGCACAATGGAGCACACATTGCTATAATCCTAGCAATTCTGGAGGCTGAGGCAGGAGTATTACAAATTTGAAGCCAGCCTGGCGAACTTACTGAGACCCTGTCTCAAACCAGAAAATAAAAAGGGGTAGGGATATAGCTCAATGGTATAGTATCCCTGGGTCCAATCTCCAAACCCCAGTATCAAAAAGAAAGGAAGGCAAAACAAAAACAAAAACACCACTACAGAGGAGAAATCTCATATTGGGCTGTGCTGATGGGGCAAAGCCCTCACCCAGCTGCTGCATTTTATACCTCCTACAGAAGTTAAGGGTCTTACCATGAAATCCAGTCCCTCAATTTCAAAGTCACCAGCCTCTACCATAGAAGGAAGGCGGGGAATAGAAAGAAGGAAGCCAATCTGGGGAGAATAAAACACAGAGCAGGAAGTGACCTACTGGACACCTTCTCTGCCTAGAGGAAGCCCCAAAACCCATGAAGGTATACCCCATGCCTCCCTTAGGAGGCTAAAGTCACCAAAAGGCTCATGATCTTCAGACTCCTCCCTCCAAGATTTCTTACCTACCAATATGTCTTTCATAAACCTAACATTTCCTCTAAAAGACCCCTAGAGGCTACAGCCACCCTCCTTCCCTCACCAGAGGGATGTAGATGACACTGCATGATGGAATACGGGAGTCCAGATTCTCCAGCTCCTTCCGAGCAACTTCAGTGAGGAAACTGGGAAGACCCATCAGCCTTCGTTTTTCTAGGAGGGTGGAAGGCATGCATATATTAAAAGTAAGGTCCCTGGGGCTGGGGTTGTGGCTCAGCGGTAGAGCGCTTGCCTAGCACGCAGGAGGCCCTGGGTTCGATCCTCAGCACCACATAAATATAAGTAAATAAAATAAAGGTACTGTGTCCAACTACAACTAAAAATAAATATTAAAAAAAAAGTAAGGTCCCTGATCTGGCTGCTAGTTGTAGTGACCGTCTGTTGAGAATGATACCCCACTGATGGGCAGGCTTTATTTGGGGGCTAACAGGCCCATTCCCACACCCAACACTCACTCTCATCAATTTCAGGGTCTACATTGGGGAGAACTGTGAAACGATTTTCAGCAAGACTGCCCTCAAAGTCCACCTGTGAAAACAGACAAGAAGCTGTTTCTTATCACCTAGCACCATCTCTGTCTTGCCCTCCTTGGGCCCAATTCCTCCTATAATCCTATCTTAACCCTAACTCTCCAGACACTTTTCCTGATGTTCTGCCGCCTCCTCTGACCATCCAATTTTTTTTTTTTTTTTTTTTTTTGGTGGTGGTGATGATGGTATTGGAGATTGAGCCCAGACCCTTGCACACTAAGCTACTTCTCTAGCCACCATTTTTTAAAATATTATTTTGTGAGAAGGTCTCCCAGGCTGGCCTTGAATTTGTGATCCTTCTGCCTCAGCCTCCCTAAATAGTGGGATTACAGGTCTGTGTCACCACTCCAGGCTCACTATCCGTCAGTCACCCAACACAATTCTTCAGTCACCCAACTGACCTCAACATCTCCCATGCTTCCCCATCTGCCATACTACATTCCCTAGACCCCACTCCTTTTCCATTCTCCAGCCCCATTCCTCTTCCTTCTCTCAATATGCCCTCTTTCCTTCCACTCACCACTTTGCCAATGAGGCTGGCAATGTGATGCAGGTCATCAGAGAATTCTTGGGCAATGTCCCGAAAAAGCTGAATGGACTGGGGCAGGGAGCGGCAAGCATCCCTTAGTCCCAAGGCACTGTACACAGTCTGAGGAGAAATGCAGCAAGGAAGGTGACCCCCACCCAGGTTGGGCTAAGGGAAGGGGACAGTGACAGACTGAAAAGAACAGAGAACAATAAGAAGCTGAGTGTGGTGTGCACACCTGTAATGCCAAAGGAACAGGAGACTGAGGCAGAAAGATTGCAGGTTGGACACCAGCCTCAGCAACTTAGCAAGGCTGTAAGCAACCTAGTTAGACCCTGTCTCAAAATAAAAAATAAAAAGAGCTGGGGATATGGCTCAGTGATTAAGCACCCTTGGGTTCAATTGTTGGTACCAAAAACAAAGAAACCAAAGACGAAAAGGAAAAAATACAAAGTGAAGATCTTAAAGACAAAAACAAATGCAGAGGAGATGGCAACTATAAAACTGTGCCAGGCACTGTACTAAACACTGAGGCCACACAGACAAAAGATAAATGACCCCTGACCCAAATGAGTTCACATTCTAGGTAGCCAGGTACAAATGGTGCACGCCTGTAACCACAGCTATTTGAGAGGCTGAGGCAGAAGGACTGCAAGTTTGAGGCCAGCCTGGGCAATTTAGGGAGATCCTGTTTCAAAATTTAAAAATACAGGCTGCCAGGGCTGGAGTTGTGGCTCAGTGGTAGACTGCCCACCTAGCATGTGGGAGGCACTGGATTTGATCCTCAGCACCACATAAAAATAAATAGTTATAAAAAAATTCATCTTAAAAAAAATATAGGCTGGTATGTAGCCCAGGAGTAGAGCACTTGCTAAGCATGAGCAGCCCTAGCTTCAATTACCAGTACCACACATAATAATAACAATTCTTTTTAGTAACGACACTGAAATATGTATGAATAAAATTAAATAGTGGCTGGAATTCAGAATAATCTAAAAAGAGAAAAGTAGGAAGAGAGATAGATAAAACAACATTGGCAGGAGTGAATGTGTGTTGAAATTGCATAAGATTAATAATATTATTCTCTCTAAATATTTTTTAAATATTTATTTTTTTAGTTATTGTTGGAAAACAATATCTTTATTTTATTTATTTTTATGTGGTGCTGAGGATTGAACCCAGGGCCTTGAACTGATAGTTTAGCACTCTACCACTGAGCCACAACCCCAGCCCTCTAAATATTTTTTACATTTTCCACAATACATAACTTTTAAAAAGTGATAGGCCAGGCATGGTAGCACATGCCTGTAATCCCAGTGGCTCGGGAGGCTGAGGCAAGAGGATCTTGAGTTCAAAGCCAGCCTCAGCAAAAATGAGATGCTAAGCAACTCAGTGAGACCCTGTCTCTAAATAAAATATAAAATAGGGCTGCGGATATGACTCAGGGGCCAAGTGCCCCTGAGTTCAATCCCTAATGCCAAAAAAAAGTGATGGAATAAAGTTAGACAAGGTGATTAGAGTTAATTAAAAGAGTCTGGAACATAGGTCAAGAGGCTTAACTTGGACTTCTGGGGTTCAAGAAGGGAAGCTTTGCCAGGCACGATGACACACGCCTATAATCCAATGGCTCAAGAGGCTGAGGCAGGAGGATCTTGATTACAAAGCCAGCCTCAGCAAAGCAAGGTGCTAAGCAACTCATGAGAACTTGTCTCTAAATACGAAAAAGGGCTGGGGTTGTGACTCAGGGGTCAAGTGCCCTGAGTTTAATCCCTGGTACCCACCCTGTCTTACCAAAAAAGGGAAACCTTACCTTGTACAGAACCTGCCAGTCACTGACCTTGGTGTGGGACAACTTCATGCGTTTCAGAATCAGCTACAGTTAGACAAAGGGAAAATCACCATTTTCTCTCTCCCACCTGAATGCCCCTCAAGAAGCTAATGTCCTTCCCCACTTCCCAGCCCTGAACCCTGGGCTCACAGGCACATTCTTGATGTGACTCATAAGCCGATGCAACATCTGAGCCATGTCCAGATTCTGGGGCAGCAAAAAAAATTGAATGACATCCAAACGGGAATTGAGTTCTCCCAGGTCCTGAGTTGGGCGTGTGAACCAGAGCCTGGAAAGGAGGGTTTGGGAGGGAAGACTAGAAATTACATCTGTTTCATTACGGTCTTGATCACAATTTGTCAAAATATGTTTGGAAATCCCTGGGGATTGTGTCAATGTGTATGGGTGACATGCTATGGAAACGTACTGGCAAGTGCAATGTCCTATCTATGTGGGTGTGTTTATGTATGTCAACTGGCAACTGCAAGATGTATGAGTGTGTCTGTTCATCATGGTTTGATGGATAAGACCATGTGTCATTCCATGTGGATATGTGATGGAGCTTGTCAATATTTTAGAGGGAGAGCAGTGTGCTGAGGCATTTGTGTGCCAACACTGTAGCTCTCTCTGTGACTAAGGAGAGGGTGAGTCAGTACAAGTTTGCATGTCTGTATTTAGCTGTGAAAGTATCTTTGGGTAATAGCACAGATATTTGTCTTTTCTTGTTCTTCCTGTGAAAATATGTAACTGTCCCATGTGGAATGATGAGCCTGCAATTCATAATAATGGACATCTCTACAAAGAAGAGAGGATTGATGAGGAGAGGAACATTTAAGAGGCTTTAAGAATAAGTTTTATTCTTATTTTCTCTTTTCTTTTTTTTTCAGTGCTGGGGACTGAATCCAGGGTCTTGCACACATTAAGCAAATGCTCTACCACTAAGCTATGGAGGCAACCCAAGAGTGTCTTAAATTGGCTGGTGGAAATACAGAGGTTTATATTATTATTTGCATTTTTGCATTTAGAAGTATATCCTAATAAGTAAAAATAGTATATAGAAATAAATGTTTCCTCTGTTTATTGAATTCTAGGAATCCCTATCTCCCTATGGTATGAAGAGGAAGGACTAGAGCCCATGGATTCATTTCTACATTAGAGCAAACCATTAAGAATTTTATCTAAAAGCCACCATGCAGAGACATTGGAGCCTGTTGATACGTATTTCACATTACAGTCTATAACTGATTACCCTGGGTCAGAACAGCTCAAATTAGAATGAAACAGAAAACCCAGTTGGATTCAAGGGTGGATTTTAGGCACTTCTACTCTGATCTACAGTGGGCTTCAACCACAGCAGTTGAATACCCACTCCACCCTCTGTGGAGAGGACATGAGCCTCACTGAGCAGACTCTGTTATATAACATGTAGATATCTCTAACTCATCTTCTACTGTGCCACAGAGACCTTAGCCAAGCCAATTCCCTAATTTTACACCTGATGCCCTTAATGGGTAAGTAAGTTGTCCAAGGTCATCCTGATAATGAGAAGTACATCTGAGTCTCAAACTCAGGTCTCCAGACTGGCAGAACAGTGCTCTTTAGAGCACAATGTGACATTCAGTTACCTTCTCAGCACCCTGTTCAGGTTTAATTCATCACTCAGGCTGATTCCATAACCTGTGTATCCCCTCTGGGAAATCTGCACTTCTTCCCCATCTTTAATCCTGTTCTCTTCTCCACTGGGAATTTCTTCCATCCCTGGTTGAGATTAGAGATCTACACTTGAAGCACTGGAGTTGGGTAATTAAACTACTCCACCAATTACTTGGAGATGACCTCAGAGATTATTCTAAATTAAACTCCAGAATGTATACATTGCAGCAGGGCGAGGCTGTAGGCTAGGAAAGGTTTCTACTCTTGAGTTTTTAGAGATGATTTGACTGGTATGTTTGATTTGTGTGTCATGTTCAATCACTCAGTGCTATTACCAACAAGGCCATGTGTCAGGCACTGAGGTAACAGGAATGACCACTAGATAAAAGTTCACAGCTATGGAGGCAAGCAGGCTCACTAACTGCTAATTCTAATTTTATGTGTCAGTGCAATTGAAAAACAAGCACTGTGTAATCACATGGAAGGTACATGTTTATTTATTTACAGGTACTTATGAAAGCTTTACCAACAAGGTTTTGCCTCTTTAAGAGGATATAAGATTTTGACAAAGGGAGAATAGGTGAAATATTTTCCCAAAGGAAAAGCATAAACACAAGCATGATGTGTTTCCATAATAGCAAGTATCCCTAAATAACTAAAATGCACAGTGGATCTAGTAGGAAAGAACTTAGAAGTTTGGGAAGGTACGTGCAAATTAAAATTGGGTTGAATGGAAGACAACCTGAACATCATACTGCAGCATCGTACTGCTAATTTCTCTTTTTTGTTGTTGTAATTGGATAAAATACCTTTATTTTATTTATTTATTTTTATGTGGTGCTGAGGATCAAACTCAGCGTCTTGCAATGTGCTAGGCAAGCGCTCTACCACTGAGCCACAACCCCAGCCTCATACTGCTAATCTTAAAAAAAAAAAAATGTTGTAGTTACAGATGGAAAGCATACTTTTATTTTATTTTTATGTGGTGCTGAGGATTGAACCCAGTGCCTCACACGTGTTAGCAAGTGCTCTGCCACTGAGCTCCAGCTCCACCCCATACTGCTAATCTGTAATGCCAGGCAAGAGGGCAAATACCTGTCATCCCAGCGGCTTGTGAGGCTGAGGCAGGAGGACTGTGAGTTCAAAGCCAGCCTCAGCAAAAGTAAGATACTAAGCAACTCAGTGGGACCCTTCCTCTAAATAAAATACAAAATAGGGCTGGGGATGTGGCTCATTGGTCGAGTGCAAAAAAAGCTCATCTTCATCCTGAAGGTAATATTACGGACAGCTTCCTGTTATTTTGTTTCTACTTCAAAGTTTAAAAGAAAGTAGAATGACACAATCAGACCTCTGTGTTGGTATGTCAAGTATTTTAGAATGAAGAATTGGAAAAAGAAGAGATAAGAGGCAGAGACACCAATCTGGAGGTAAATGCAAAGTTCCAGGTAAGAAATTATTATAGCTACAATAGGAGCAGTGGAAAGACCAAGAAAGGATGGCTAAGAGAGACATTTCAGGATAGAATCAATAGACATTAGTGAATAATTGAATATGAGGGTGAGGGAGAGAAGCATCTATCTGAGGTCCATAGTTTGAGAAGCTATATTGCCAGCAATGCCATTAACCAGAAAAGGCTGCAAGAACAGCAGTTTTTGTGGACACTAGTTTTGGATGTCCTGAGTTTGAGGTGCTTGAGGAAACTATGGATGGCATTAGTATATAATTAGCATTACACATGTGGAGTTCACAATTAGGGACATGAATTTAGGAATCATCACAGAATAACTCAAGTTTTGATTTTTTTTCTTTTTTTGTGGTGTCAGGAACAAAACCCAAGGCCTCACACATGCTAGACAAGTGCTCTACCATTGACTCATTCTCAGCCCTTGAAGTATGTTTGTTTTTTTGTGGGGGAGTGGGTACCAGGGATTGAATTCAGGGGTACTCAGCCACTGAGTTCCCCAGCCCTATTTTGTATTTTATTTAGAAACCAAGTCTCGGGGCTGGGGATGTGGCTCAAGCGGTAGCGCGCTCGCCTGGCATGCGTGCAGCCCGGGTTCGATCCTCAGCACCACATACAAACAAAGATGTTGTGTCCGCCGAGAACTAAAAAATAAATATTAAAAAAAATTCTCATTCTCTCTCTCTCTCTCTCTCTTGCTCTCACTCTCGCTCTCTCTTTAAAAAAAAAAAAAAAAAAAAGAAACCAAGTCTCACTGAGTTGCTTAGCGCCTTGCTGTTGCTGAGGCTGGCTTTGAACTCTCGATCCTCTTGTCTCAACCTCCTGAACTACTGGTATTACAGGCGTGCGCCACCGCGCCCAGCTTGAAATGTTTGTTTTTTTWAAATTTTTTAGTTGTAGACAGTTACAATACCTTTATTTTATTTATTTGTTTTTAAATTTTTATTTTAAATTTTTTTTATGTGGTGCTGAGGCTCAAACCCAGTGCCTCACACATGCAAGGCAGACACTCTATCAACTGAGCTACAACCCCAGCCCATGAAATATGTTTTTTATAATTAAAGATATTACCAGTGTTACATGAGTGTTTTGTGACTTTTGTAATGTTTCTGCTGCTTGTATATGTGCATGTCTGAATATCATCAACGGGTGTATCTTTGCTGAAAACAAAAAATAAGGGTAATACTAGCTACTACATGGGATTATTGTAAGAATTAATTACATGCATTTAGCCAGAGTTCAGAACAGGGTAGTTGTTTTATTATTACTGGTAGATGGAGTGGTATGTGTGAGTCTGTAGACTGCTATTACTAGGACTCAGTATGTAGTATGTACATGAGACCTATGCGTTAGTGTGTAGCATGTGTCTGAGATCCACTCACCTGAGTAGTTTCTCTCCCCACTTACAGCGGCATCTGTTGAGAATTCCTGTAGGGAGTATGGGCAGGGAATGAGCTTGTTACAAGGTAGGCTGGCCTGGGGACCCAGACATAGGATTGATTCCATGGAGACTGGGGAAGGGAAGGACACTTATAGCAATGCTCAGCCAGAAAAATACAGGAAGCAGGCATAACGTAACATTCACAAAGAGCCCAATGCACATATGTAACAATTAGACACAATTCCTTGAGAGATGCAGATATAACTTACATCCAAAAGGCTGTAAAGACTATTAATCAAACACAGGCAGTTATGGAAGTTACACAACTCAATAGTTTGAGAAGCTGTCCTGCAAGCATAGGCCCTGTACATAGGCCCTGCCCAAATTCCTATCAGGTATCCAGCTATATAAACATTCACACAGACCAGGGGAATGAACATAGTACTGGTAAAATCACAACTATATGCAAATACTATACAGTTAGAGTATGGAGAGATGCTTAACCTCAGAGCAGGTACAAAGATGATAATAAAGCTGAACTAGCTTAGAAGAGACAGCTGGCAATGGGAGTAAAGTGGGAAAGAGGGGATAGGACACACTTTAGTCAACAGCTTTTATCACAGGTTTTTGTAGTGTGGGGTTAGGGATGGGACACACCTACCAAAAAGGCTAAGCCCCTCCTTCAGTCCACTGGCCACTTTGTATACTGAGGGGTGAGCCTCACTCTTAAAAATCTGTAAAACACTATCAGGGAGAAATGAAAGATTTTGGGGTTACTTGATTTTTGAAGACTGAGAAAATAGAATGGGGACTAGAAACATCCTTCTAAAATCAAGTCTTGATGTAAGGTTTATCTCTCACTCTTCTATGCTTTAGTTTCTCCATTCAGAAAAGAAAAGTGGCAGGCCAGGGGTATAGTTCAGTGGCACAGCACTTGCCTAGCACATGCCAGGCCCTGGGTTTGATCTTCAGCATCCCCACCAAAAAAAAAAAAAAAAGACACAAAAGCAAAGTGATACCTTTGTGCTTTTCTTCCTTTCTTCCCTTCACCCCCGCCCCTTTCCTTTCCTTCAGGGAAAGATATCTTAATAGCCCCAGGATTAGGGAAATTAGAACCTCATTAGGATTATTAGAGCATTAACCTTAATCCTTCTATCCCCTAGAGATGGCAGCCTGCCTCCACCTCCTCACCTGTAAGTGTCTTGATCTATGCTCACAAGATGGGTCCTGAGGACAGAAAGCAAACAGAAGGGAAGGCGACTGGGGTATAAAAGGTCTGAGTTCATTACAACCTCCACCCATTTGGCTCTCCTCTCTGAATAGTGTCCTGATCCTCTCAGAGCTCCATAGCCCCTCGGGTTCTCCTGTTCAAATGCACTTCACTCACTGGGTCACTGTCCCCTACCCCTGGCTTACTTTTTAAGCCTCCAAATCCCACTTTACTTTGATTGAGGTTAAGCCAAATCACCTACAACACAAATTTCTTAAAGCCCAGGATGGGGATGCTGACATTATAGTCTTCCAGTTCAACTCCAATTCTTCTTCGACCCAGGAACTTGAGCAGTCCTCCAAGTGCCCGGACCTGGGAGGGAATCAGCAGTGGAGTTGGGGGACATAATAACGTCCTGGAAGCTGGTCAACACTAGGGAAAACTATTATTTTCCACAGATAGGCCAGTATAATACAGAACCCAACCCCAGGACCCAACATACCGTGAGAAGGCAGTCAAAGGGAATAATGGAGGAGAGGAAAAGGATTTTTTCAGTGGCAGTCATGGACTCCGGGATAAAGGAGTAGTTTCCAGAAAGGAGACGTTGTTTGCTTATCTCCAGACCTATTTTGGGGCAGTAGGGGAGGGAAAGATTTCATAGCTAAATTTTTCACCCCACCTTTTTTTTTTTTTTGATAGGAGGGATTAAACCAAGGGGCACTTTACCCCTGAGCCATATGCCCAGCCCTTTTTACTTTTTATTTTGAGACAGGGTCTTAATAAGTTGCTTAGAGCCTCTCTAAATTGCTGAGGCTGGCCTTGAACTTATGATCCTCATGCCTCAGCATCCCAAATTGCTGGGATTACAGGCATGTGTTATTATGCCCAGCTTTTTTCACCCCATTTTAAGAATAAGACAATAGAAGCAAGAAAGATGATGTGACTTGCCCAAGCTCACATAGGTAATTAATGGAAAGCTGAAGCAAGAACCAAAATTTTAGCCGGGCATGGTAGTGCACACCTATAATCCCAGCAACTAGGGAGGCTGAGGCAGGAAGATCTCAAGTTCAAAGCCAGCCTCAGCAATTTAGTGAGGCCCTAAGCAACTCAGTGAGACCATGTCTCTAAATAAAATACCAAAAAAGGGCTGGGGATGTGGCTCAGTGATTAAGCACCCTGGAAATCAATCCCTGGTACAAAAAAAAAAAAAAAAAAAAAAGAGCCAGGTGTGGTGGTGCACACCTGTAATCCTAGCAACTAGGAAAACTGAGGCAGAAGAATTGAGAGTTCAAAGCTAGCCTCAGCAACTCAGTGAGGCCATAAGTAACTCAATGAGACCCTGTCTCTAAATAAAATACAAAAAAGGGCTGGGGATGTGGCTCAGTGGTTAAGCACTACTGAATTCATTCCCTAGAAAGAAAAAGAAAAAAAATATTTTCAGATTCTTAGTCTAATACTCCTTTTATTACATATATAAAGCAAATATGTTTGAGAGCACAACCTGAGAAAGATTAATGACTTAGGAGAGAAAGCTATCTATCTGGAATTGGAGATTTGGTTTAAAAGATAATGCTGAGTACTGGGACTGCGGCTCATTGGTAGCATACTTGCCCGGCATGTATGAGACACTGGGTTCAATTCTCAGCACCATATAAAAATAAATAAAATAAAGGTCTATCAACAACTAAAAAAAAAAAGATGATTATATTGATAGAGGAATTAATGTTACTGCCTTAACATCAAATTAGAATAGAACATTCTCTGTCTATTCTGTAAACCTGGGAATGTTACGGAAATGTCTTATGAATCATCAGAGCCACTGAGTGCCTTTTAACTTTTTTTTTTAAGCAAAAAATCACTCTTGTAAGCAGTACATCTGAGGGGAGGTCTCTGATGATAGGGTGGAATTAGGAGAAAGGAAAGCAGAAGGAAAGGTGACTGGGGTATAAAATGTCTGAGTTCATTCCAACCTCCACCCACTTGGCTCACCAATCTCAATACTGTCTCAATCATCCCCTTAGAGCTCCATAGCCCTGACACTGGGATGGGTTATTGGCAAAGCAAAAGAAGGAGATACCAAAATCCACACTTGGCAAAAGTATGATTTCAGGTCTCTTTGGCTCTCTGTGCTCCTGGGAGGCTGTGGGGGAGGCAAAGACAAAGCCATCATTCTGTACATTTTAGTTCTTTTACCTCTGTCCCACTCTCTCTAGCCCAATTCTAGCTTCCTGCAACATTACATATCTTAATCCTTTACTATTATCCCATTTCCCAACCCACTCCTTACCAAGCTTCCCTAGAAAACGAGTCATATTCTCATCCTGTTTGGCACTGGTAACAACAGACCGGGGATTGATTTCATCCACAACTTAGAAAGAGAACAAAGAATAAATGAGATTAAGGATCTTTATCCTTTGACTAAAAGGGAAACTGTAGCTCTCTTCTTGCCCCTTGTTCCCTCTCAAGAATTTATTTATTTTTTCCCTCTAAAAGGAGGAGGTGCTCCACATATCAGGAATAGAGGTAAAAGGAATGAGATTTAGAAAGATAGTGACCATCAGGATGGTGGGAGGCAAGAGAGATGCCCTGGAAATTGTCAATAGACTATAAATCCCTAGAAGACAAGAAAAAAAAATAACTGATTTGACCAGGACTATCTGCAGTTCTTGATACATTATAAACAATTAATAAATATTTTTAAAATAATGGAAATGGATTCCTAAAACCAACAGAAGGGGCCTCTGGTTGTCAACTAGGAAATTGATTTTCAGGTAAGTACATATGAGTGAAACATATTTCCAATCCCAGAGAGAAGAGAGATTCATTGATCTGCCCCCACCTCTTTGAAGAAGCTTGAGGCTCTCATGGTCTGGGGCATCTGGCATGAAGTGAACAATGGAGTCACTAGTGTCATAGTAGGCAATGCCCAGGTATCCTGAATTCCATAACACACACAGATGGATCTGTCCCACAAGGAAGAAAGAAAATCAATATGTGAACCACTGTAAGTGTAGGGTTTTGCCATCAGGGATTGAACAGAGGCAATTCACTACTGAGCTACATCTCAGCCCCTTTTATTTCGAGACAGGGTCTTGAAAAAATTACCCAGGCTGGCCTCAAAATGAATTTGCAATCCTCCTGCTTTAGCGTCCCCAATCGCTGGGATTACAGGCAAACTGCATCCACCAAGCCTGTTAATAATTTTATCAAATCTCTTGGGATAGACAGCATCCCACTGGAACCAGAGGCTCATGAAGAAGACTTGCCCAGTCCTCCCAACCCCTTTTATTCTAATAGCCAGTTTTTCCTTATCAACTCCCGGTTGGCTCTCTAGAACACCTCGGCTGGTCCTTCCTCCTCCTCATCTTCCTCTTCATTGGCTTCCGCGGGGCCCGGTGCTGGGACCAAGTTGGGGAACCTGGCAGAGACCGCCCCAGGTCCCAGTCCCTGAGGCGTCCTGCCTGGGGTTGCTTGGAAGGTCATGGGCTTGGAACTCTGCGGATATAGGAAAGTGAGGGCGGTTCAGAAGTGCCATTCTAGCTAGGGTGGTGCGTGGAAAGACAAACCCACTGGCGACATAGGGGCGTAAAAAGCTGGGTTGCAAGATATGGGGGCATTCTGAGGGCGACTGCTCATCTATTTCACTAAAGAACAGACTAGGAAACTCCACGCGCCCCACCCTCATTTCTGTCACAAGGAGATTGTACTTTGGAAGGAGAAGGGTTGAGGGCCCTGTGGGGCGAATTGTACACGTCTAACTTCTGCTTCTGCCAGCCACGCCCAATGATCACAGCCTATTGCTCTCAAGTCTCCAACCCACCACTGGCACCAACTCGCGACATTTTCCCGCCTTTTCCGTCACCTCAGTCCCTACACGCGAGAAACAGCCCAACCACCACCAACAACAGCGAGCCTGCAGGAGGGGCTCGTCGGCGGGTGGGCGGGATGCGCGCGCACTCGCACCACCCCCGTAGCGGTTTATTGGTTGGAGGATCCTGGACCGCCCAGAGATCCAACCAGGCGTGAAGGTGGAGTAGACCGCAGGCGCAGAAGAATATGGGTGTTCATTGGACTATTCGCATTTGGGGCGGTGCTAGAACGTTCAAACTTCCCGCCCTCTATCGTTGCTTAGCAGCGGGCCTCTGACCCGAACAGTTTCTGGGTTTTGATTGACGCGGGGTGGAGTCCCAGAGCCTGGATGGGGTCTGGGGAGTTGGGCTGGGGTTTCGGAAGGAGGCTGACTTTAAAGGGCCAGAGGCACTTTTTTTTTTTTCCCCTTGGAGAGTGGAGAGAAGTAACATTAAACCTTTGCCAACAGCAACTAAGTTAATATTTGTACCCTCTGAGTTAATATTTATAAAGAATTTGGAACAGTGCCTGGCAAATAAAGTAAGAGCTATATACGTGTTTTAAATAAACAAGTGGAAATAAGAAGTGGGACTCCTATCTCAACCCTATTTTTGCCTGTTTCTTGGATCCAGGGTATGACCATCCCCAAAAGGGCACTACAGGGCTAATTTATTATCCCCACCCACATTGAATTATTCAAATTATACCAAATTCTGAAAGCAGTAGAACAAATAAGAACACTTACACACTTATTGGGTTATTGCCGTACTCCTACATACACACATACATACTCCTAAGGACAGAGGATGGCATTAATTCATTCAGCATTTATCTTTGTTAATTATTATTATTATTATCAGTAGTAGTACTATGAATTGAACCCAGGGGTGCTATACCACTGAGCTATATCCATAGCCCCCACTTTTTAAAATAATTTTTTTTTGGTTGTAGATGGACACAATACCTTTATTTTATTTGTTTATTTTTATGTGGTGCTGAGGATCGAACCCAGGTACTTACGTGTGCTAGGCAAGTACTCTACCACTGAGCCACAACCCCAGCCCATAGTCCTTTTTAAAAAATCTTTATTTTGAGACAGTGTCCTCACTGAGTTGCTTAGAGCCTCATTAAATTGCTGAGGCTGGCCTCGAATTTGTGATCCTCATGCCTCAGCCTCCTAATCTGCTGGGATTACAGGCATATGCCACCACACCTAGCTCAGCATCTATTTATTTAGTGCCTACTCTGTGACAGGTGATGGACTCTAAGAAGTAAACATAATGAAGTCCTTACTCTATGAAGTTTATTTTTTAGGGCGTTTGGTGGGAAGGGAGAGGGAGGAGGTTGTGAGGCAGAAACAAAGAAACAAACAAATATGTACTTTTTAAAACTCCATCTTTCTTTCCAGTGTGGAGACACATGCCTGTAATTGTAGCAAGTCAGGAGGCTGAGGTAGGAGAATGGCAAGTTTAGGCCAGCCTCTGAAATTTAGCAAGACCCTGTCTTTAAAAAAATAAAAAATAAAGGCTGGGAGTGTAGCTCAGTGGTAGAGAGCCCCTGGGATCAAATCCCCAGTATAGCAAAAGAAAAAAAAAAATCAGTTTCTCTCTCTCTCTCTCTCTCTCTCTCTCTTTCTTTTTTTTTGGTGTGTGTGTGTGTGTGTGTGCGCGTGCAGAGACTTGAACCCAGGGCTTTGCCCACACTAAGCAAGCTCTCTATCACTAAATTACATCTCCCAATCTCTCAGCTTTGTTCTCGGTACCCTGGAATGGGAAGATCCCACCCAAGAGGCAAGAAAAGATGATGGGGGTGAGATGACTTCAGTGTGCAGACCAGTGATTGGAAGATCCTCTCCAGAGAAGAGAAGGTAGGGAAACACAGCTAAGGGCTGAGTTAATGGTTACCTTGGCAAATTGTTGAACAATGGAGCTATGGAAACCTGGAGAAGGCTGGTGACAACTCTGGGGAGTGGCAGAGAGGGACACACCTTCCAGGGTGTGAAGAGATTAGAGACTGGTTTACCAAACCACAGAAGGGAAGGGAGCAAAAGAGAAGCCTAGAGAAGGGAAGGAGAGACAGTGAAAGAGGAGAAAAGCAGGGGCAAGATAAGATGAGTTGAGATGGAATGAGAGGAAAACTTCTCTGATGCAGGACTTAAGGGAGCAGCCCCTGACCTCAAATCCCTGAGGCACTGTTGGTGGTTACAGGAGAGGGCAGCGTTACCTATCACCTGGGGAGTTAAGCAAGATACCTTATAGGTAGCCAAAGTCAATACTGATGATCAAGGCAGCCTTAGCTATAAAGCTGTAGGAGCAAGGGAGGGGCTGTCAGACCTGTTTGAGCCTATAGCTGGCCCCATTTACTTAAGCTTCTCCCAGAAAGATCTTTGTGGGACACTCATCAGTGAAAGCAGGAGAGGACCCTGGGAAATAAGGCTTCTTTGATAACCACCCCCAGATCCCATCAATAGGAAGGGGTCCTGTGTGCAGATTTTGAGGGTCACTAAGAAGGGGATATTCTCTCTCTCTCTCTCTCTCTCTCATACACACACACACACACACACACACACACACACACACCATTTATGGAATCATTCTGCATCCTCATAGGATGTTGTAATTCAAGTGAGCAAACACCAAATATGCTGCATCTTTCTGGGGTGGAGAGAGATGATCCTTCCCTCAGGGAGAAGAAACCCACAGAAGAGGAAGCACAAGAGGAAACCACTAACTGCTGGTTTCCAGTGGCATATCATATCACTCCACCCCACTCCTTCCCCAATCTCTACCTTTAAGGTCCAAAACCCTGTTTTGCTTCCATGTCTTTGCAGTCTACCATGTTTTCAGGTTTTCTTTTGTTGGGCAGAGAAGATGTGAGAAGGAAAGAGAAGAGACAGGAGAGAAATTCAGGGTGTTGAGAGTGGAATATATGCTGTTTGGGGGACATATTTTGAGACTTTTTCAGAAGGTCATAAAGAGTTTGAAAGTACAACCCAAATCAAGGTTACCAAGGAGGGAGAGAGTAACTCTTTTTCTGTCCGCCCTACTTATTCATTTAGATGTCTCTAGGACTCCACTCACACTATTTTGGATTTTGTTTGTTTTTGCAGTGCTAGAAACTGAACCCAAGGCGCTATGCATGCTAAACAAGTACTCTGCCATTGAACTACATACTACCCAGCCCCACTTCACATTATTCTGACTTGCTTTTTCCCTATGAAAGGACCAGCTACCATTCCACCAACCGGAGGAAAGTGCAGCCAGCCTAGTGCCAGGATAAGCCCACTCCAACACCCCATCTTCAAGACAACCTACCAGTGAGAAGAGGGCAAGGGGCACAGGAAGGGGCCCAGTATGGGAGGCAGAAGTGGAAATGTTAAAACTGACCAGGCTATCAGTAGAGCACCTCCCCTTGCCATTCAAGCCCCAAAGTTCAGCTTCCTGTTTCCCCAGCACCAGGCCTCTGGGTCTCCTTTCCCATCCACTGTACTACCTTTCACCACTCCCTACTCCCAACCCCAGCTTCCACTTCCAAGTTCTCCTCCCAGACCACAGTCCTAAAAACCCAGAATTTAGACTGGAGTCTGGAAAAAATATAGAATCTTTCCTTTCTAAGTTCCATTTTTATGAGCGTTTCTGAGCTGTTAGTGTCAAGTTTCTTGTGTGAGGGTGGATAACCCTTCTGATTAATGAATCAGGGAAACTGAGGCAGAAAAAAAATGCTATGCTCAGGAGAGGACAGAGACAAAAGGCTTCTCACAACTTACTCCTCTTAACACCCCCAATGCCTGATCTTCTGGGAAACCCGAGGATCTCCTCTTCGGACCCAGTCCCTAGGTCGCCCAGTCCCGCCCCCTCCTGTCCCCTCCCCAGGTTCAGGGCGGGGCCGGCCGGTGAGTCAGCGGCTCCCTGATCCAGCTCCGGAGGGGACAGAACTGGAAGAGTTAGGTGTGGGGTTCACCGGTTTGGTGGAGCAAGTGGGTCTGATCGGGCTCGTGTTGGCTGAACGGTCAGCCCTAGGTCTGGAGAAGAAAATCCCCGACTGTGAGACCCGCCTTCCCAGGCCCGGGCCCCTCCCAGTTCCCCCAGCGACGGCCGCTTCCTGGTCCCCGACGCAACCATGGCTGAAGAACAACCCCAGGTCGAATTGTTCGTGAAGGTAAGAACACCTTCTCTTTCCTTGGCCATCCTCCGAATTCCCGGAAGCAAATCCTGCCTTTTCCCCAGCTGCAGTCGAAATTCCCCAATTCCTCCTCTCCCAGACCCCAAACCCCAAGTCCACGTGTAATCTGGGAAGAGGGGGAGAGGTGGCGGGAGGGAAAGACAACTTGTAAGCCGGTAATGAAACTTCTAGACCCGATCCTGAAAAGTTTGTAGCAGAACAAGTTTCCAGCAGCCTAAAGGAGAAGAAAGTGGAGAAAAAGGAGTTTCCAGGCGTGAGATTGGGATGGGTGGGGGTGCGAACTGGTGGAAGGACAGGAGAGAAAGCGGTCTGCTGGAGCCCAGAGGGGCTTGGGGAGAACAGAGGGGAGCATCTATTGGGACAATGGCTGCTGGAAAGATGGGGGGGGGGAGAGGGTAGGGAGGGATTCTAGAAGAGGGTGTGTCTAGGGAGGCTTGGGAGTGGAGGAGGTAAATCGGCCAGAATTGGTGGGGTGGAAAGAAGAGAGAGGATAGCAGGAGGGCTGGAGGGATGATGGGTGATACAAATATCCTCTGAATGGAAAGAGCTGAAGAGAGAAGTGAGGAGGTGACAGTTTGGCAGTAGCTACCCAAAGACAGTCGAAGTAGAGATCAGAGGAGAGTGAGTTGGTTTGGATATGGGACGTGTAGATGCAGAAGGAAAAGCCTCACCCCAACCCCAACTCTCTCCCTTCTGTGTGGGTGTGGATGAAGAGACTGGTAACATGGTATTTGGGGGTAAAATCGCAGGCAGCAGCCTTTCTTGTGTCTGTCTGGACCCCTCCCCTCCAGCATTGCCTTCTGCCCCCCCCCCAGGACCTTGACTCTGCCCTTCCCTCCCTTCCTCTCCTTGGTGGTCTGTGCCACCCTGTTTGTTCATTCTCCCCCCACCCTCCGCTTTCCTGCCTCCTTTTTCTCTGCTTTTCCCTTTTGTTCATCTGTCTTTGTGTTTTCCTGTTTCTCTCTCTCTCCTTATTCGCTGGTTTCTTAGTCATTCCCTCTCCCTGGGCCCCAGGGAAGTCAACTCCAGCCTGGGTCCGCCCCTTAGGTGTGGTCCCTACCTTACTTTCATGCTGGCCTCTGGGGCTATTTTTACTCCTGGGTGAAGCTATGCTGGTATGGATTTTGGCCCTATGTCCAATACAAGAATTATTGGTAGCCAGAGGACTTGTACTGGAGAGATCTAGAAGTGGGAATGAGGGCGTTAGTGGGCTGGAGAGGTTCCCTAGCAGCTCAGGCCTTAGCTTTGCTGTCCCTGCCCCCACTTCCTTAGCAGGAAGGAAGCTGCTGAGGCCAGAGACACCAAGAGATGAATCAGTCTCAGCCCAGGGGGAGGTGTCCCTTGGGGGATGAGGTCACTACTTGCCAATTAGAGAGCAGCCCCCCTCTACAGGGCCCTTCATATCTCTAGAGTGAGGCTCAGGACCCCTTGAGTTCCCACTCAGTTGTCAGAAACGGGTTGAATGGAGATGTAGTAAATCAATTCTGGCTTCCAAACCCCACTCCATCCTTAGAGTCCTTAGACTCAATTCAGGAATCTAGGGCCCTAGCCTATAATTCTAGCCTCACCAAAGTCCCATACCCTTCCCTCTCTATGATTTAGACCCTCCACGTTCTCTAAGACCCATTCCCTCTGCCTCTTCCTGCTTGTGCTTAATCTCTGGAAACTAGAAGCCTGCCTTTGCCAAAATTTTCCCATTGATCTGCCCTAAATTTGATCTAGGCCATCTCTCTGATAGCTTATAATAGGGGAATAGAGCATAACTAGGAAGATAATAGCTGTTCTCKAGTAGGAGGTGAAGAAAAAGGCGTGGGAGGGGTGGGGTACACCAGACCTAATCTTAGGATGGGGATTGCTTTTCAGGCTGGCAGTGATGGGGCCAAGATTGGAAACTGCCCCTTCTCCCAGAGACTGTTCATGGTGCTCTGGCTCAAGGGAGTCACCTTCAACGTCACCACTGTTGACACCAAGAGGTGGGCCTACTTCTGTTTTTCTAAATGCCCCTTGAATACATGCATGTATATGTGTATACACATACTCAGGCCTACCTGAGTCTTTCCATCTTAAACCTTTTCCCTCTCCACGTGGAGCCTTTTTCTCTTCCCACATTTCTCTATCTCCTTTCTGGCTCTCCCTGACCCCTTTTTCCTACCCTGATACCTGGCCTCTTCTCCAGGAGGACTGAGACAGTGCAGAAACTGTGCCCAGGAGGGCAACTCCCATTCCTGCTGTATGGTACTGAAGTACACACAGATACCAACAAGATTGAGGAATTTCTGGAGGCAGTGCTGTGCCCTCCCAGGTATAGGAGTACTTGGAAAGGGGAGAGGGGGAACTGGAAGACTCTGGAGAACTGAGAGTTTGAAAAAATAGAATACAGAGATGGTGATGGGGCTGGGGCAGGGGAGATAGATAACAAAGCCTCCTTCTATGAAGGTATCTTACCTTGTTTCTCCCATTGGCTTTCAGGTATCCAAAGCTGGCAGCTCTGAATCCTGAGTCCAACACAGCTGGGCTGGATATATTTGCCAAATTTTCTGCCTATATCAAAAATTCAAACCCAGCACTCAATGATAGTGAGTTTTGTGGATCAGAGGCCAGAGGACTGGGTCCTGGGGGAAGGGAAAACACCCAAGGGTTGAGAGGCATTAAGGACATTTGGAAGTTCAGGTTATCAGGAAGATGGAGTAGGTGTTGGAAAAATCTCTTCAGCCTTCCATTTTTGCTTTACCTCTTTGTCTCCCTGCATTCTCAGACTACCTGAACACAAATCCAGCTAGCTGTATGACTGAACAGTTCACTTAGTCTCTCTGTAAATCCATTTCCAGATCTATAAAATGAGGATAATAATACCTATTTCCTGGGTTGCTGTGAGAATTAAATGAGTTTTGTTTCTGAAGGGCTTAGACTTGGGGGCTGGGGATATAACTCAGTGGTAGATCATTAACATGCTCAAGGCTGTCAGTTGAATCCCCAGCACCTCTCACCAAAAGGGGGGAAAAAGTGCTTGTTCTCTGTGTTACTATATATTAATATTTGGTATTATTATTTTGTACTGGCCTTGCATTATGTCCCCCCCTCCCCCAGGGTTTTCTTGGATAGGCTTTCTCAGTCTTCTGGTATTCTAATCAGTTCCCTCTCTTGCACAGATCTGGAGAAGGGACTCTTGAAAGCCTTAAAGATTTTAGACAATTACTTGACATCCCCTCTCCCAGAAGAAGTGGATGAGACCAGTGCTGAAGATGAAGGCATCTCTCAGAGGAAATTTCTGGATGGCAATGAGCTCACCCTGGCTGACTGCAACCTATTGCCAAAGCTCCACATAGTACAGGTGAATGGTCACTATGGGAGGAGAGGATGGTAGCTGGGGTGGCTCTCTAAGGGGCTTCCACATGACAATCACTTCCCATGACAACAATTTGAAGGTGATTTATTTCATAGCATGTTTTTCATAGATTGCTACCAAGGCAGACCCCACCCCAGTGACAAAGTCTAGTCCCCAGCAGTCATTGCTGACTTGACAATTACATTCCATAGACAAGCCATGGGTGCACATGCCTTAGCCAAGACTAACACATTCTGGTATTACTTTCAAAAAGTCTCTTCCTATCTCTGCATTACTGCCAGATCCCCAGATAGACAAAGCAGGCTTTTCCTAAGGCAAAGCTGTAACTCTTTGTAGCTTCAGACTCCACTTCCTCTTAAGGAAGTTGAAAACTTCTGCTTCCCATGTCTTTATTATAGCCTCAAAGCTGTGGTATAGTTTATAAAACATGGGCCCAAAGTCAGTCTGCCATACAACTGAGTAATGAAAATCTGTGTACTAGTCATTGAAAGACAAAAGATGTTTGGCAACCGGTCCATGCCTTTTAAGAGATGAAACCTAACAGAACATAATATTAACATTAAAGTTATGAATAATACATGTCTAAAAGTCAAATGAAAAATAGAGACAAAAATCACTGGAACCAGGTGCAGTAGCACATGTCTGTCAACCCCCCAACTTAGGAGGGAGGGATCACAGGTTTGAGGACAGCCTCAACAATTTAGCAAGACAGTCTCAAAAAAATAAAAAGGTCTGAAGATGTAGCTCAGTGGTAGTGTCCCTGGGTTCAATCCCCAGTACTGACAAAAAAAAAAAAAAACAACCCACTGTGGAAATTCAAGTTAATTCCTCTCCTCCACCCCTTTAATACCAGGGATTTAACCCAGGGGCGATCAATCACTGAGCTACATCCCCGGCCCTTTTTAAATTAACTTATTTTTTTGGTACCAGCGATTGAATCCAGGGATGCTTAACCACTGAACCATATCCCCAGCCCTTTTAAAAATAATTTAGAGACAGGGTTTCATCAAGTTGCTGAGGCTGGCTTTGAACTTATGATCTTCCTGCCTCAGCCAGGTGTGTGCCACAGTGCCTGGCAATTCCTCTTTTTACTTGTCTTCCCTGGGGTTTACATTTTGGTTTCTCTCCACTTCCCATCTCCAGGTGGTATGTAAGAAGTACAGGGGATTCACCATCCCTGAGGCCTTTCGGGGAGTGCATCGATACTTGAGCAATGCCTATGCTCGGGAAGAATTCGCCTCCACCTGTCCAGATGATGAAGAGATCGAGTTGGCCTATGAACAAGTGGCGAAGGCCCTCAAATAGGCCATTTCTGGGGCTCCCTCACCCCCGTACATGTTCTTTACAGAGGCCCAGGGCGGTTTCCACGTTGCTTCCCATGGACACACTCCAAAATGGCCAGTGGACAGAGAATCCTGGGGCACTTGTGCAGGACTGGGGGGGGACGAGTTTGGGGGATGGAAGGGAATAAGGGTAAGATTTTTATTGTGGGGTGGAGTGGGTAGGACAACTTATTTCAGTAATAAAATACGTAGTGAAAATGTAGTGTTGTTTTTACACAAAACGGAGTTGGAGTGTAGTTGACACCAAATTAGGGGTGGGTCAGTGATCTTGAGCTCAGCGCAGAAGCCAGGAATTAAGGAAAGGGATATTTGTTCCAGGGCTTCCGTCTTTTTTTTAGTGCCAGTCCAATACAGTGCTGTCTTCTGGTCCATGCCGCATTTGCTTCCTGGCCGATAGGGCTAGCCAGATCTGGGTGGGCCTGGTCCGCGCTCGGGGGGCGGTGCCGAGTTCAGGGAAGGGGGGCTCAGTCCTGGTGGAATGGGCGCGGCATCGCAGAGCGGAATAGGCGTGGCCTTGTAAGGCTCCGCCCCGTCCCGCTTAGACAATGCCCGGGAGCCGCCAGACCCAAGCGCCCCCGCCCCGTCGTAGGACGTGAACTCGCCAACCCAGGGACCCCTCAAAAGCTAGAGCTCCCAGTCTCTTGTCTTGAAGACTAGGACTCCTTTATATCCCTACCCTACCCTCTGGGGGTGGGGCCCCAGCCGAGATCACAGTGCAGCAGGAGTGACCACTGAAGGTGAGTCTGGGGAGGTGGGTGACCACTGGACCGTAGCTGGTATTTGGGGATACCGGGCCTGTGCCAGTACCGAAAGGAGTGTGCGGGAGGCTGGCTTTTGGGTCGGAGCTGGGCGGGGTGGACTTCGGTGGAAGATGGACAGGGGTACCGGGTCTTGAGGCCAGGAGTGGCGCCCGCGCCCCGGAACCACGCCCCCGTTTCCCCGCCTCCCGGATTTCGTTGTAGACCTCTCCCAGTCCTCCGGGACTAGGTCTGGTTTATACTGGGTCGCGCCAGGGACAGCGTGACTGGCCTGGGTGGAGAGAGGATGCTTAACTCCTTGGACTCTTAATTCTTCTCTCTCTTCCTTTTTTTCCCCTTAGGGCTTAAGGACTTCATGTCCTGGGTCCTGATTCACTCCCCAGCTTTTTCCTCCTGCCCCATTACCCCTGTGTGTGGGTCCCTGGCCAGACTTCGGGTCCCTCCAGCTGCGAGCAGCTGAGGGTTAAGGGGGCGGGGCCGCCGCATTTTTGGGGAGTGAGCGCATCCTAGCGGCTGCCAAGAGGGGCGCCCAGCAGAGACCTTTTGAAGCCCCCGAACAGGGGCAACAGGTGTTTTGGAGATTAGGGATTTAAGACTTGTTCCATGGGCTCCTCTTAAAGAAGCAGACTCATGGGGTTGCAGTGTGGAGCAGGGTCCACCGAAGAGAAAGGTCTGGAGGGGGTGGGGAGGAGTGGGAGGGGCACCGAGATGGCAGGAGGAAGACCCTCTTAATCACCATTAATCAGGCTCTCTTATTCGCCCCTACGACCTTCTCTTCATGCCTCTTTCTGTGCTTCCCCCTGTTTCTTCTTCCAGACAGGTGAAGTAAAAAGAAAACAGAAATCAGCTTGGCCGGAAAGGGCGTTTGTGTGGATGGGATGGGGACGCCGGGGGAGGGGCTGGGTCGCTGCTCCCATGCCCTGATCCGGGGTGTCCCCGAGAGCCTGGCGTCGGGGGAGAGTGCAGGGGCTGGCCTTCCAGCTCTGGACCTAGCCAAAGCTCAAAGGGAGCATGGGGTGCTGGGGGGTAAACTGAGGCAGCGACTGGGGCTACAGCTGTTAGAACTGCCTCCGGAGGAATCGCTGCCGCTAGGACCGCTGATTGGTGATACAGCCGTGATTCAAGGCGATACGGCCCTAATCACGCGGCCCTGGAGCCCGGCTCGTAGACCTGAGGTGAGCGCCAGGGTGGGTGTGTAAGGGGAAGGACGAGAGGAGTTGGATGTCCGAGTTTGGGAAAAGAATTGGGAGTTGGGGTGTCTGAGCCGGCACTCTTCTCTTGCCCTAAGGTTGATGGAGTCCGCAAAGCCCTTCAGGACTTGGGTCTCCGAATTGTGGAGATGGGGGATGAGAACGCAACTCTGGATGGCACTGACGTTCTCTTCACGGGTGAGGCTGGGGTCTTGGCACAGGGAAGCAGTTTGGGAGACCTAGGATGTCTCGCGCCTTGTTTTCAACTCACTCAGGTCATCAAACCTTTGTGGCCTTCCCGGGGGTTCAGGCCGGGAGTTTTTTGTAGGCCTCTCCAAGTGGACCAATCACCGAGGAGCTGAGATAGTGGCGGACACATTCCGGGTGAGGAGCGGTACCAGCCTTGGGAGGGAGTGGGGCGCAGGCAGGAGTCCCGGTAGCCTGAGGACTCCGTGAGGAGGAGGAAGAAGCCTGGGAGCAGCTTATGTTTGAGGGTATCCCCTCTCACCCCTCCCACGACCCTGAATACCCTCGCCTTTGCTCTCCACAGGACTTCGCCGTCTCTACTGTGCCGGTCTCTGGCCCTTCTCACCTGCGTGGCCTCTGTGGCATGGGGGGACCCCGCACTGTGGTAGCAGGCAGCAGCGACGCTGCCCAAAAAGCTGTCAGGGTGAGGAGGGGCGGGGTGGGGTGTGGCCAACGACCATGGGCGTGGCTCCAAACTCGGGAGGCGGGAGCTCCAACCCTAGCCTTCACCAAGCTGTCCATCTAAGTGTGAAAGATCACCCAAGTAAACAGGTGGAATACATAACAATAGCTGGCACGGAGCAGGGAGACTGGGAACAGGGATGATTAACTTGCTCTTCCAGAGTTTTAGGAAACTCCTCAAAGGTGATATTTAAACGGATTTGTAGAATGGATGGGACAGACAGGTGGGAGCTGGAGAAGGGCAAAAGAGGGTTACAGGTGAAAAGGACTGCATCTGAGTAAAGAGTACAAGATGGAAATTAGCAGAACACTGTCTGACATATTAGAACACTGTGTGACATAGTAAGGACTATGTACTTGCTGTCACTATTATTCCACAAATAGAACTGTCCCAAGTCCTTAATAGGGCCCTTAGTTTGTGGTAGGATAGGCAAATTCAATTGTGGAAAAGCTCTGATACTTAAACACTTCCTCTTTCCTTTCTCTCAGGCAATGGCAGTGCTGACAGATCACCCATATGCCTCTCTGACTCTCCCAGATGACGCAGCTGCTGACTGTCTCTTTCTGCGTCCTGGGTTGCCTGGTGCACTCCCTTTCCTCCTGCATCGTGGAGGTGGGGACTTGCCTAACAGCCAGGAGGTGAGAGGGGTATGAGCTCCACCACCACTGCCCACTACCAACAACAACCAATAAAAGAAGAATTTTTCCCAGTGGGAGGAAGGAGGGGTATCTTACCTAGAAACCTGGGTGGAGCCACTATAAGGTGGCTGGACAAGGGTGACTCTAGACTTAAGGTTTTACTCCCTTCTCTGTATTGTCCCTGCAGGCACTGCAGAAGCTCTCTGATGTCACCCTTGTACCTGTATCCTGCTCAGAACTGGAAAAGGCTGGTGCTGGGCTCAGCTCCCTTTGCCTGGTGCTCAGCACACGCCCCCACAGTTGAGGGTCTGGCTTGGGATTCTGGGTGGCCAGCAAAATAGGAATTAGAAGGGGAAGGAGAGCTGGGCATGGTGGCACACACCTGTAATCTCAGAGACTCGGAAGGCTGAGGCAGGAGGATCACAAGTTTGAAGCCAGCCTCAGCAATTTAGCAAAGCCCTGTCTCAAAATAAAATAAAAATGGCTGGGGATTTAGCTCAGAGGTAGAGCATCCCTGGGTTCAATCCTCAGTACTGCCCCACCCCCAAAAAAACCCAATAATAATAAATAATAATAATAGAAGGGGAAGGAGGATTAGATAGATGATAAGTAGGTAGTAGCAGGAAAGGGCCTCAAGATGGGGTGGGATGGGACATAGTGTAGGGAAAAGTATAGGAGCCACTGGGTGAGTCCTCTCTCAGAACCAATAAAATAGAATTGGCCTTTTAGATTGTGCTGTGGCTGATGTCTTCCTGGGGCAAAGGGATGGGGCGGGACTGAAACCTGAGCTGGGGTCAGTGCTGGAAAAGAGAACTCTTTCATTCAAAAAACCCTTGTTAAGCAGTTACTCATTGCCCAACCCTGTCCTAGGTGCTTGGGCAGAAGATGGGTAAAACAGAATTTGTATTGTGCACAGTCTGTCCAGGGCAGAAAAGGGAGTGTGTGGGTGGATCACTCTCTGACTATCTCTAAATGTCAGATGATTCAGACACTGGTAGATTAACAGTCCACCTTTACTTGATAGAGAAGAAAAAATGACATTTTCAGAGACAATCATTTTCATTCACTCATTTACTGAGGCTTAGCAGTGATATCAAAAGGGTCAGTCTCCAGATGTCAGGGAACTTACAGTACATGAACATTTCTTACAAATTGAAATATAGATAGTAATGTAATAATTCACAGGAGGCTGTTTCTTTCTATGAGAAAAATAAAGGACTCTGTAAGGTATCAAAGTGTGTGCTGCAAAGGGCAAGGAGGTTCAGGAACAACTTCTCAGAAAAGGCAACATAAACTGAGTCCTGAGGATAAATAAGAATTAGCTAGGCAGGTAGTGGAGAGGAGAAAAAAAGGGTAATCCGGGAAGAAGGAATTACTCTGGACAGAGGCATTTTGGATGGCTGGGGAGATTTTTTTCTAAGGCTGGCATGTTGCGTGCACATGGAATGACAGATAAGCCAGAGAGTGCTATATCACCTTGTATCAAAAGCCAAGGTCCAGGGCTGAGGCTGTAGCTCAGTGGCAGAGTGATTGCCTAGCACTGTGAGGCTCTGGGTTCAATCTTTAGCATTACATTAAAAAATAAACAAATAAAATAAAGGCATGCTGTCCATCTACAACTACAAAAATATTTTTTTAAAAAAGCATAGGTCCATGACCCAGAGCTGAAGCTTAAGGAGAAAAATACCACAGTTTAAAAATAAGGGATGTCAGGAGCAAGTTAGTACTTGAAGAGGATCTCTGGCTTCAGAGGAGGGCAAAGCAGAAGTATGAGTTATGGATAACCCAGGAAGGAAATGAGGAGATTACATTCTGGTGACAGCACTAGACATGGAAAAAAGATTTGACAGTGCCCTTAAGATAGACAAGACTTCATGGCTCATTGTGTGGAAATGAGAAATGAGGTCATATGACTCCAGGTTTCTGGCTTGGTCAACTGGGTTGATCAAGAGAGAATGTAAACAATAAATTGTGCTTGATACACTGTGCAAAATGCCTGGGGTCAGCCAGGCAGGATGTCCTAGATCTGGGATGCAGAGAGTTCTAAGTGTCTTTCTAGAGGTGCAGGCTGAGAATTACCTGCAGATAGAGATTTCCAGAAGAGGGGTACGGGGAAGAAAGGGACAAACCTAGAATGGTAGAGAATACCATGGGGATAGAAAGCAAAGAAAAATAATCTAGAGGAAGATAAGAGCAGCAAAGTAAAATAACTTAAAGAAGGGGGTGATCAAAGGCCATGCCAAATGAGTGTTGAAAAACATAGCCTAGGACATCAGAACATCACTGGCAAACTTGTGGAGAGTAGATAAGCAATTTCAGCAGATAAGTAGTGGAGACAGAAGAAAAAGAAAGTGAAGAAAAGCAGATGTATGCTCCTGGTTCAAAGGCTTGATTCTGAAGGGAAGAGATAGGACAATTTTTGGGAAGTTAACTAAGATATCGAGACAGGGTTTGATTCAGGTTTAGAGAGGACATCAGGGGCGAAGGAGACATGGAAGCTATAGGAAAGATGAGAGTAACTGAAGGAGCAAGATCAGCAGTAGATATAGCCCAGAACCCAGGCCTTCAGACTCCTAGACATGCTCATTTCCATCCCATGATGCCTTCCTCTAGGTGAGAGATCAAGAGGGTGGGAATTATGGAGGGGTGGAAGCCCCCAACTACACAGATTTGGAGTGAGGGCTTCCCTTCAAACTACAACTGCATAGATAGTGGATGCATCAGCAGGGACTACTGTGGACAGCCGGCGGGGTCTCCTGAGGGCTCTATGGTCCAGATCAGCGTAGAGCAGGCTCTGAAGGAGGCAAGGGAGGAAGGAAGGATGATCTCAGCAGTCTGACTCCCTTGAGATTCAGACCTACCTCTTGGTCCACTTTCCTGGGGGATTCCGTCCCCATTCCCAAGTCCTTACCGGCTCCTGGTCCAGGTCCCCTGGAATCTTGGGCTCCTCCTCCTCCATGGGTCTGTGGGGCTCGGCTTTCATCAAAGGAGCTATATGGGGGGGACAGAGCTGAAGGATGGAGAGAAGGTGACCAACTTGTCTGCTCCCAACAGGGGCCCAACTCAGGAATTGAGGGGAGGGGACTGTACCAGTAGGAGAGGAAAAATGGGGAGGAGTTAGTCTTACCAAATGTGGGGAGTGGTGGAAGCGGAGGCGGGGGCGAGCGCCTGTAAAGGAGTATAAGAGTCTTTAATAGTCACCAGTCTTGTTGCGCTGGTTCTCCTTGGCCGCAGGCGGCGCCAACGACAACCTTGCAACTTGCTCACTCTGACCAGCAAAACAACTTAGGCCCCTCCCACACAAAAAGTGCTGCCCACACTCCGATCCTGTGGCGCATCTAGCTTCACTCCTCTAGTCATGCCCCGCCTGGTACACCAGCCTCTGGCCTCGCTCCCAAGTGTTGACCTCTTGCGTTCTCCAAACCATGCCTGGATCTCCAGATCTAGCTCTTTTCTTTGCGAAAATTCACGTTTCGCCCCTGCCGCCTCTGGTCAAGCCCTATTAAACCAGGCCCCGCCCCTGGTGCTCACCTGCGAAACCACCAGACCACGCCCAACGCTCCCAGTCCTAGCACCAGACCAGCGCCCAGCAACGGGACCAGGACTTGGGGATACAGCGACCCTAGGGAAACAGCGTGGCGGGGAGGGATGCAGACGTCAGGAGTACGACCACAGAGAGCTAGCTCTGTCGCTCAGCAAAGCTTCCATCCCTCTCCCCAGAGTGTGTCCGAGTTAACTCCACCGTACGTGTTGATCTCCACCTACCGTTCGTAGGCCCCTGGGCTCTGCAATCTGCCCTATCGCCCAGCACGTGAAGCACCGTACGACTCTCGTCCTCATGGCGTCCCCTGCAGAAAAATGTGCCCGAGTCCCCCGCACTCAAGAGCAGCTCCAGCCGCCGGATACCAGGGTCCAGAGAGCGTAGGCGGCCAGCGAAGGGCAGGAGTGGAGGCACAGTGGGGATCCCACTGGACGATGCCCACAGGATCGGGCGACGTCCCTTGGACAGACCTTTGCAAGCTGGGAAACTAGGCGCCCAAGCCCAGCGGATGGGGTGTGAGATCCCCACGCAGGAAAGATTCACCCGGTCTCCAGGGCGTCCATCCAGAGATGCTAGGGGAGGAGGGGGACGGTGGTTAGGACAAGTCCATGGGGCAGGTCGATGACACTGTCCCCACCCCATCTCTTTTTTTCACTCTGCCCTTCCACCATTTTGGATCTTCTCACACACTCGCGACTCCTCAGGTGTTCCCTTCCCCTGCCTCAGTCTTTCCTCACCATCACAACTTTCCCCGGAATTGCTTACCCCCCGGGTCCCCGTGGGCCCTCGAAAGCAGCAGAGGCAGTAGCTGCAGAACCAGGGCCATGGCTGGGGTGAGGTGGGGAGAGGCAGCAAGTGAATCAGCAGGAAGACCGGAGGGAAGTCTGGGGACAGGGACTGAGGTATCTCGGGACTGGGGGCTCTGATAAGAGCAGGGGCGGGGCCACCAATTCTTCCATCTCTTTAGGAATCCTCACAGGCAAACTCACAGCCCTAAAACAGTGCCCACTTAAAATTTGTAATAGGCTGTTAACACAGCACTCCTGCCTACTTAACTCCTCCAGCAGAGTGATAGCTGGGACAAATTCTGGAGCTCCACTGTCCTGAGTTCATATGTTGACTTTGCCATCTATGAACTGTTGGATGTGGGCAAGTAGCTTAACTGCTGTCTCTTTGCTCATCTGTAAATGAAGATGAACACACCTATTTCATACAGCATTGTGAGAACTAAAGTAATACCTGTAAAACAACTAAAGCAATGATGGACATAGGAACACTAAGTGCTCACCATTATTTTTACTACTTCTGTTCTTATTTTAGCTTCTACCTCACCTTTCTGTGCCCACGCTGTCCTTCCCCGCCTGCAGTACCCCACCCAAGTCCACAAGTTTTGACTGGGGAGGCCTTTAGGAGCAGATGCAAATGCCCCACACCTGTTACTCCAGCAGCCTTCACTGGATTGGAGCCATCAAGATCACATCAAGCCCATGTGGAGGGGTGAGGTCCCTCAAACCTTTAGGGGGCCTGAAGCAGCAACTCTTTAGAAGGTGGGCAGCCTCAGTTCCCCTATCCCCAGGACATCACAGAAACCCTCCATGATGTCACAAACCCTTCATCCTGTGGTTGGGCTGGGGTGGGAAAGACCAAATGAGGGTTGAGTAAAGATTAATTCAATCCCTTCCATCTTTAATTTCTGCCTGCATCCTGGCCAGTGCCCCCCAAGGACCCAAATTCGGCAATCCAGCTTGGGCCACATTCTATCGTTTCCTAAGAACTAGCAGAAGCTGCCACTATGGTCATTGTAAATCATAGAGGCCTTTTGGTGACTCTCCTTCAGAGGACTAGACAGGGCTTTCAGCCGGGCATCCTGAAACCAGGAACCAAAATGGAGTTGGCCACCAGTGGCACTTCCCCTTCCCCTTCCCTCTCACCCATCCCCATTCCCCAGCCAGGTCTGCTCAGCCTCTCCCCATCCTTAGTCTTTTTCTCTGGTCAGCACAGTGTAAATAGGAAGGGAGGTGCCAGCAGAGGCAGAGAAGGGAGGGGCCTTGGGATTATAAATTCCAAAAAGGCCGTTCAACTCCCAGAGCAGGATCCCTGAAAATCTACTCTTGACCACGGCTGTGACTACTACCATTCTTGGGACCCTCACCATGAAAGGCCTTCTTCTGCTCACCCTGTCTGCTCTGCTCTGCTGGGTCTCAGGTAAGTACCTGTGGCCCCCAAGAACCTGGTTCACCTGTCAGGACCTCAACCTCCCTGCCCTGCCTGTACCACCCATTAGTCATGATCCCAAAAACCCTCAGCCCCAACTGGCTCAGCTCTCCTATGTTTCCAGGACCAGATCTCTCTGTTACAGGCTCCTTGCACAATTTCTCAAGGACCCAGGTCTCCGTCATCATATTCCTCCTCATCCCCAAGAAAGTCCCACTTTTCTCACCTGCAAGGGCTCCAGGTCTCTTCCTCACTCCAAGGTGCCCACTTCTTGGAAACTCTGATATCTAGTTCCCTGGCTTGCCCCATTTCAATCCACAATTCTCCTGGACCCATCTTACTGCCTTCTCTCACCTCCTGCAGACAGCGGGATGTGTCTTCAGACTTAAGCCTCCAGATCCAGGCTTCTTTCAGACCTCACCCTCTCCATCTACTCCACCCTGGACTTAGGTACTCAGCTGTGGCTCTTCCTAGTGTATCCTTGTTCCTCCCTGAGCTACATATTCTCACCCCTACCAGGGACACAGGCTTTCTGGGTGGTTTCAGTAACTTCTTAAAGCCTTCTGGGGAACCAGGGAGTTTCCCCAAAGCTCCTAGGGAGGGGATGCCAGGGCCACTCACCCCTAGAGTGAGGTGGGTTTTATTTCCAGGCTCTCCACTCTTGGACTGACCTCTCCTTTGCCAAATCTTGCATGCCCATGCCTTGAATTAGCTGAAGCAGGAACACTGGGGGTGCCATCTTCTGTACCCACCCTCTCCCTTCTGGTAATCTGCTAAGAAGGATTCTGATGAAATGTCTCTCAGGTATTATTCCTTCTGCCAGAGAGCTGTAGTAAAGAGGACTCCATTCAGGACTGGTTCCTCCACCCACACTCTTGGCTGCCCCACAAGGTGAAGAGTAAATTGCTAAAGTTGGCCACAGGTGGCTTTCTTGAAGCCTCCAGTTCCAAGCCATTTCTGAAGGCATCATAATCCCATCATTTTTATTCTTCATATTTCTTCCTATTTCAAGTCTCTATCCTCTCCCTCCTTTCCCCATTCCTTCCCCACAGTTTCCTCTTATCCCAGCTGTCCCCAGACGCATGTTTTTGTTGGTAGTTGTGCTCCTCTTGACTCATCCCAAATGGGGTGTGGTGGAGGAAGATATTTAGGGTGTGAGCCTTTCACAAAGAACAACTCCACCCTTACCTGTCACCCACTTTCCACTTTCACCGCATCACTCACCTGCTCTGTCCCATGGACCAAACAGATCAGTGCACCTATTTAATAGGCTCTTCTACACCCCCATTACCAGTTCAGCTTACCCCCAGGTAGCTTAGACACCCCATGCCTCAGCCTGACTTGTTTCTCCCCAGCTGATATCCGCTGTCACTCCTGCTACAAAGTCCCTGTGCTGGGCTGCGTGGACCGGCAGTCCTGCCGTCTGGAGCCAGGACACCAGTGCCTAACAACAAATGTGTACCTCGGTAATATCTGCCTCTATAGTGGAAGAGGGACAAGTGGGACACTCTGTCTGGGACTGAGACCCAACCAGGGCTAAGACTAAGATGGAACAGAGAATTATAGCAATGATGACATTTGGCCAAAATGATTATATACCAGGCACTGGGCTTTTTTGTGTGTGCGTGTGTGGTAATGGGTACTTTACCACTGAGCTACATCCAGTGCTTCCCACCTCCCTGACTTTCCTTTTTTTTTTTTTTTTTTTTTTTTTTAGATAGGTTTTGCTAAGTTGCCGAGGCTGGTCTCAAACTCCCAGTGACTTGGGATTATAGGAATGTGCCACTGTGCCCAGCTATGTCTTTATGTGCTCTGTTTCAATGAATGTTCATGACAGTCCTATGATGTTGGTGTTAGTGTCAAATTGACTAAATACTCTCAAGAGAGATAAAACAGGCCCAAAGACCTCATGGCCAATCAGGATTGGGGTTCACAATAAGGAGGTAGAGGAGTAAAATAGGCTGAGAAGAGATAAAGGGCAGGGCTGGGCAAATTTGCAAAGGAAGGAAGCCTGGGTGGGTGTACATGGTGGGGAGTGGGCATAGGTGTGCCAGGTGCCAATCCTAGCTGATCTCCCTGCCCACTCCACTCCTGCCTCTAGGGAAGATGTGGGTTTTCTCCAACCTGCGCTGTGGCACACCAGAAGAGCCCTGTCGGGAGGCCTTCAACCAAACCAACCACAAGCTGGGCCTGAACTATAATACCACCTGCTGCAGCAAAGACAACTGCAATAGCCCAGCCCCCCGGCCCACGCCCACCCTGACCCTGGTTTTCCTCACTTCCTTGGCTGGCCTTGGCCTCTGGCTGCTGCACTGAGGCTCACTCTGTGGCTGTCCTTCCTCCCCACCTGCCTTAGCCAGAGCCTCTCTCCTTATGACTCCCCATCTCCTGGTTTCCCAGAATGATCTCTCTCTGGCTCCCCTTCCTCTGAAGAGCATTTCTCCAGTCCCCTCTCATTTCTTTAATGAGACAGTGCCCAGAGTGGTCTCCCTATCTATTTTTCCCAAACTGTACCCTCTGCTCTGTTTTTCCTGAGTCCTTTCCCTTTTCCCTTTAGACCACTCCAGATCCTCCACTGGCTCATGAAGGACTTCTACTTTGTCTTCTACACTCTGAGGTGCCCTCCTTGAGAGGAGGGATTGGGATCTGGGCGGGAAATGGGGCTTCTGTCCTGTCTCCAATGAAAGCCCCAGGAAGGACCTGATGACCTCACTCTATGGGATTGATTCACCAAACCCTCTACTCATCTTTTCCATTTTGAGTAATAAATGTCTGTGTCTAATAAATTGTGCATTCATTTTCAGAAGACTGTAAGTGTCAAACCCCCTCCCTGGAAGTAACACTCTCAGCACCCTCACCCCCACCCCCACCTTCCCCTTACCCAAGAGTCTTTCAGGGAGTTTCCCTGGGAGGCTGGGTTCATGTAAATGAAGGAACAGGTTTTTCAGGTCTCCATCCTGTCTTTCAGTGTCTGGAGGTGGCACATAGGTCCCAGTGTTTGGAGAAACAACCCTTATCCTAAATTTAGCCACACCCTAGTGATATTCTGCCAAGGAGGAGATACAGCCTGGCTTTAGGTCTCCCCAAAGAGGTAGGAGAGGGATATGGGGATGGGGCCTCAGATTAGGATCTGAGGCCTTACCTGGCCTAGTTACTAACCAGGGTATCCAAGCAACTCTCCTATCGCTGGACTTATATTTCCTTTTCAATTCAAAATAGTCCTATCCATGCTTACCTAATGTGTGAAGCCCTGGGTTAAATCCCAGTACTGCAAAAAACAAAACAAATAGTTCTTTTGGGAACTAAGTTACAAATGGAGGAAAGGGGAACAAACCCAGACAGCCAAGCTCATGGAATCCTGGTCACTTCCACTCAGTCCAGAGCTTACTCTCCTTAGTAATCTGCATTACTAAGGTAGATCTTCCCTAGCAGCAAGATCCAGTAGTCACTAAGAGAGATTCTGCATCATCCTTGGGGATTTTGTTGGTTAAGGGGTGCAATGTGGGATCCTGGTTGGGGTCCAGGACCAGAGAAAGGAGAAACCACTGTAACTAGGCCAATTGATGGGCCAGAAACCCTCAAACTAGAAGATAGATGTCCCCATATTGCTGCTTCAAGTTTCCCATCAACAAAAGGTAGATGGAATTTTCCAGTCAGCTCTAGATTTTAATGGCTCACAGAGAAGTGTTTACTTTCTCACCTTAGATGTTCAGAGCTCCCTTGTTTCCTTGCTCCCTTGCCTACCCTCATTCCCACTACCCGCTCCATAGTCCTGGCAAAAGCCAGACAAGGGTGGTGGCTGCTGCAACCAAGATGCATGCTGGGGCCACGGTGCTTGCCACAGCGCTGTTGCATAGGTCTCCAAAGCAGCAGTTCCTGTGAGTTGTGTAAGTCACGTCTCCCACCAATTCTGTTTCCACTTGGTTGCAATGATGGGTGGCCACACAGGCAGGATGGTGATGACTCAGGGTCACTGAAGCTGAGAGAAAGAATGAAACTGGGGTGTTGGACTCTTGGCGTCAGGATTTGCCTTCTGGGGCAGAGCAGATGTGATTTCAAGGAGCCCAAGGGAATTCTCTGCCCCCTCAAAAAACACCTCCCTGAAACCAAGTGATCAAAGTTAATTCATTAACATTGTTAACTGCTGCTGTGATGTGCTGATAAGGGAACAACATCACTTCTATGGTATTCCTGCCTGAAACACATGACCTCAATCTTATCATATGAAAGAAAATAGAAGTTAAACTAGTTGTGGTAACGCTTGCCTGTCATCCCAGCAATTTGAGAGGCTGAGGCAGGAGGATCACAAGTTCAAGGCTAGCCTGGGGAATTTAGCAAGACCCTTCTCAAAATAAAAAATAAAAAGTGCTTAGGATAGCTCATAGTAGAGCATCCTGAGTTCAATCATCAGTACTACAAAAAAAAAAAAAAAAAAAAGAGGAAAAAACAAGTAAATAGACAAATCCAAATTGAGAACAATCTACAAAACAACCTATCATAAAATTACATAAAAAACAAAGTGATCTATCAGGGCTTTTCAAAAATATCAAAGTCATGAAAGACAAAGAAAGACTGAGCATTTGCACAGGCTGGAGAATGTAAAAAGACGTGAGAATGAAACGCAATGTGGGACCCTGATTTGTGTCCAGGACCAGATAAAGGACATGAGTGGAACAACTGGCTAAATCAAAAAGCCTAAATTAGCTAGTCATATTATACCAATGTGATTTTCTGATTTTGATAATTGTGCTACAGTTATGTGATATGTTAGCATTAAAGAAAGTTGAGTGAAGGATATACAAGAACTTCCTGTACTACTTTTGCAAACATTCTGTCAACCCAAAATTATTTCAAATTAAAATATTAAAACATACACAATATACCTCTTAGCCAGTGCTTGAAAGTTGGTCCCTGACTTAAGGGACGAATTTCTGAGTAAATGGGCCTATGATTCTTTCTGGAGAATAAAGAGGAGGGAGGTGAAAGCCCAAGAACTGTGGGATGCTCAGGTGCTCAGTGCCAGGAACCAGAAGGGTACAAACTGCTTTTCTCCAACAGTGGCACCATCTGCCCAGAGCCAGACGGAGCCTGGAAGGTTCTGGAAGCCAGAGGAATAAAGTGGGGCCTAAAGGCAGGGAGGGGTTAGGGAAGAGGGAGAAACTGAGGACTCACGGTTCTCAGACAATTTGCTCTGTCCCAGGCCTGGTTGGGGTTTACGCTCCAAGAAGCCACAACGTTCACCCTCACCACAGATAGTCACGGTCCCTTTGCAGGAGTTGCTGGGGCCTCCACCACAGTTGTAGCACCGCATGCGGTTTCCTGGCAGGAGAGGCAGGAGAAAAGAGGCACTAGACCTGGGGCTCTCTGGAAGTTGCTGGCAGAGGGTAAGACAGGCCATATGAGAGGTGAATTGGCCTCCTCCTTACCCAATGCATCCCCCAGCAGTGTGCAGATCAGGATTCCAACAAATTGGGGCTTCATCATGTCTACCTGTGTCAGTAGGGCCTCTCCCTCCCGCCCACCCCCCTCCCTGGCCCTGCTCTGCCAGCCTTATATCCCCCTTGTTTTAGATTTATAGGGCTATAAAAGGGAGGAAAGAGTCTCCCCCAGCAGGCGCCAGGGCCCCAGTGGAGACAGGGAGGGGCCTGTGGATGCTCTCAGCATCCTCTGAAGCCTCAAACTCCTCCATCTTCAGCAGTAGTTAAAAAATTATTGCTCAAGAACTCCTGGGGGTCTCTAAGACTCTGTCAAAGGGTCTTCAAGGGTCTTCCTTTTCCAATTCCATTGGATTATCTTTGAGGTTGGATTTTCAACCAAATAACGTATCCCTACAGACTGAATATCAAAGAAGTGGATATGAAAACCCTGCCATCTTAAGCTTGACAGGAAATAGATTCACAAAAATGTAAAGCACTTCCACTCTTCTTACTGTGAAATTGAGCACTTGTATTTATTTTTCATAAAACTATTTCATTAACATGTAATAGGTTTATTGTTCTTAGTTGTGAAACAAATCAATACCTATTTAAAATGTCTTATTTTAATTTCTAATACAATACATATTGATATAAAAAACATGAAAACAAACTCTTTGGGACATTTGGATATATATATTTTTAAGAGTGTAAAGAGTTGGGTGCAGTGGTGCATGACTATAATTCCAGCAACTCTGGAGGCTGAGGCAAGAGGATTGCAAGTTTAAAGCAATTTAGGGAAGCTTAAGCAACTTAGCAAGACCCTGACGGAAAAAAAAAAGTTAAAAAAAAAAAAAGTAAAAATAAGAAGTAAAAGGGCTGGGGAGGTAAAGCATCCCTGAGTTTAATCCCCAGTACCAGAAAAGAGGGAGGGAGGAAGGGAGGGAGGGAGACAGACAGAGAGACAGAGAGAGCTCCTGAGATCAAAGTTTTTAAATACTGCTGCTCAGTGTCTCCCCTGCCCTCACCTTCCAAGTCTTCCTTATTCCTCCTTAGTCTTTTTTTGTGGTCCTGAGGATCAAACCCAGGGCCTCACCCATGCTAGGAAAAGCACTCTGCCACTGAACTACACCCACAGTCCTGTCTCCAATCTCTTAAACCCCAGTCATCCAGACTCTGCCACACTCCCCCGTCCCTTCATTCTATCCATGCCTTTGTTCCTAGTCTCATTCTTCCCCAGTGGAAGCACATCCACCCAGCCCCACCCATGATTAATTTTTTTTCCTCCAAGGTAGTAAAGCTGGGAGGAATAATTATGGGGTGGGAATGTTGAGGCTTGGGGGGGATCAAAGGTATATGAAGCAGGGTGGGGCTGGCCCCTCCACAGCTGGGCAGTGTGGGTGGGTCCCCTCCACAGCTGGACTGTGTGGGTGGGTCCTCTCCACAGCTGGGCTGTGTAGGTGGGTGAATGAGTGTTGTTGATTCCACCTTCAAACATCACACACACTCTAATGATCTAGGCCAGGACTGTTTAGGAGTGTGACCTTGAGAAGCACACATGCACTGAGGGGATAGAGAAAACAAAGAATAAGAGAACAGAGAACAGCTTGAGATGGCGAGCAAGGGAGGGGAGCAGAAGGGAAGGCGACAGACATAACTCAGGAGCAGCAGACGGAGCTGAGTTATAAACATTGAGAGAACAGAGAAGACCCTCAAGGCACGGGCCGGGCCGGGAGGGAGGTGAGAGACAGGGGCTCTGGAGCAGAGGGCTGGGGACCCTGCTGAGTCATGCTGGTGAAATCTGTCCTATTCCACCCCCAGGTTCTCTCCCTAGGTGTGTTTGTTTACTGGTCCCTCCCTGTCATGCTCAGATGTTCCATCTCGGGGTGCAGATCACATTCTCCCAGATTTCCTGAGCCCAGGTCCTGCCATGGGCACCTCCAGCATCTTCCTCTGCGCCTTGTTCCTCTGTGGGGCATTGGGTAAGGGTGGACTGGGGAATCCTCAGGGGGCAGGGGGCAGGGGGCAGGGGGCTGGGGCAGGGGCTGGCAGATTCTGAGGATTGGAAGGGAGAAGGAGCTGGGAGAAGCCAACAGGAGAGCAGGAACGACTTTGGGGAGACCAACCACTGGGATGGCCTCAGGCCAGTTGACAATGTGAAAGAGCAGAAGTTGCCTTTCAGAGGTACTGTCTCTTCCTTGTGAGAGTCTTTGACTTGCCTCTGTGTCTCTTGTTCCTTATCTCACCTCTTGCTTTTGTGCTGGACCCCTCAGTCAATGTCAATTCCCATTTTCTTTTCTGCCTCTGATGCCATCTACTTAAGTTTTTTCACTTTCCCCCTCCACCTCTTCACCAATCTCTCTCTCTCTCTCTCTCTCTCTGTGTGTGTGTGTGTGTGTGTGTGTGTGTGTGTGTGTGTGTGTTTCTCTATGCTTGTCTCTGATTCTTTTGGCTTCTGTTCATGTCTGCACCTCCCTCTTAATTCCCTTTGCCTCTCTGCCTGTTTCTTTTCATTTGTTCTCTCTCTTCCCTTTCTTATTTTTCTGCTTCTGTCTGCCTCCATTTTATGGTTCCTCTCTCCCACTTTGTGTGCCATCTCTCTCTGTATGTCCCTCTGCCAGCTCCTTTGGGGTTCTGCTTTTTACCTTCTTGCCATGATCTCTGCTGACCCAACAGGTCTCACCACTTCCCCTGCCCAGGGACGGCTTCACTGTTACACCTGCAGCTTCGCCAAGCCTTGCTACCCTGTACCCACAGAGTGTCAGGATGATGAAGCTTGTGGCATCACTGTTGGCACCTCAGGTAGGAGTATGGTCCATTGGCCCTTGTCCAGGTGGCTCCCTACCTGTCTCCTTCCTGCCTTTCCTGCTGCCCCCCCACTTCAGCATTCCTCCTTCATCCCACAGACCAGAATGAGATCATCGAGCGGAAAGGCTGCCTCCCAAGGACCCAGTGCCCTCTGCCAGGTCATGCCACCTACTGGTCACGTGCCTACGTTCTGCGGCACCACTGCTGTGAGCAGGACCTGTGCAACTCGGCTGTCACAGCACAGTGGCTCCCCAGTCTCTTCCTCACCACCCTGCTCCTCCTGGTGGCCAATTTTGCCTGGGGAGGCCAACTCCTCCACTAGCCTTGTGTGGACTCTCAGCCCCCAACCCAAGACTCCTTCACCATCAACATGGTACTGGAAATACCCGCATGGACACTTTTGAGACATGCCCAAGAACCTGATTTTGTACACAATCCTTAGACTCCTAGACCCAACACCTCCACAGACCCCTCCCAAGACCTGTTTCCCATGGGCACTGCTCTAGCTCTTGTAGGCACCCACCCAAAGCCCAGCCTCATAAGAAACATCTTCTCTGTGTCTTTTGTCTTTTCCAAACGCCTGGTGCTGATGTCTTCTCTCAGCCCCAGGTGCCTAGCAAGATGCCATTTTGATAGAGCTGTGGTCCCAGGCAAGGGAATTGAAAGGGCACAAGGTATGGTGATGAGGAAGGTCTTTCTGGGAAAGATGTAACATAGTAGGTGGGGAACTATAGAGTACATTTAATAAAGGAGCTATCTGGGAACCTAGCAATGGTTCAGTGTGTGTAGGGTGTGTGTGTGTGAATGCATGGGTGTGCTCTCTAAGAATGAACTATAGCTGCCTGACAGGTTGGGTTGGAGTGCTGGAACCTAAACAATATTCTCCTCATTTTCCATCTGCCATCTCATTCTCCTTCCTGCCAGTATCTTAGCTTAAGCTGCTGTAGCATGAATGTTTTAGGCAAGATATCAAAGGAAGTTTTTCTCCAGGGAAGCCCAGACTTGAGCCAAGACCCAAAAGGGGAACTGATAGGGTTACTTTATGAGGATGTGGCCTGGAGTCCAGCTCATCTCTGCCTGAGACTGGGGACTGGCCAACTTGGGAGTGTGAATGCCCTTCCCCAMTGACCAGCCCAAACTTGTCTGTAGTTCATAGGTGGCCAAGCATAACCAGCCTCACTAGGGAATCCCACCTGCTAACCCTTGTGGACACTCTCCTCTGCTTAGGGAGAGAGGGTGTGAGCCATGGGCACAGGGAGGTAGTGTTCCTAGGAGTCTGAAGTGATAACTGTTAAGCTCTGAATGCCACAGCGGAGCCCCACAGGGAAGTGTGTGTGCCATGGATAAGGAGGGAGTCTGGCTGGAGGTGGAGCGTAGGCACCCCCATTCTGACTTGGTTCCTTCCCTTCCATTTGAGGAAGTCTGTGAGCTGATTAAATATGTTTGTTCCCTAGCTTCTTTGTGAGAATGAAACTTAGCGGGTGAGGAGGTCTGGCTTAATTTGGAGGCATGTTGAGTCTTCTTTCCATTTTCTGTCCCTTAGTTCTCCCACTTTGCACTTCTATTTTTTTTCTCTCTGTTTCTTTTTATTTTAACTTTAGTCTCTTTCCTTCTCTGTTCCTCAGTTTCCCACATTCTTCTTTAGATTCCCCTGTGACTCTAGATTCCTTTATCTCCTCCCTGCCCACCTCACCCCTTCTCACCCTCAACAAGTACCCCAGCCTCCCCTCAGTTCTATAGTATTGCATGCTCAGGGCCATCCCTCCTCTGGCCAATTCAAGACACAAAACCACACCTTTTTGTAGGTGACATCATGAAATAATGCTACACCTTTTCTTCAGCTCCCCCATCCCCATTTCCCAGGTAGCCTGAGGGCTGCAGGAGGCCAGATAGACAGTAAGTCACATTCTCTGCCCACCTCCCAGCCCTACATCCTCGCTGAGGTTTTCAGGGAATTTTTCAAGTGCCAGATGACCAGGGAGAGAGAGAAGGTCACATTTCCCAGCAGCAGATGTCACCAAGATCACCTGGTCTTGTGGGCAGGTGGGCTGTGGGATTTGTAAAGCAGACTGTCAGATTAAGTATAGTTCTATTCTCTACTTCCTCAGGAACCAGAGCCTCATCCCCAATCCAGTGTTTCCTCTCCCACCCCAGACCTTTTGCAATTTAGGCCTCTGTCCCCTGTTTGTTCCTCACCTGAGACGGGCCAAGTGGATGTTCTCATAGATCTGGATTTCAGGTTTAAAGTGAGGAATGGAGGCATCTGGGGAGAAGTAGTCAGAATGTGTATAGAAGTCTCTAGATAATTCAGTTGTGTTCTTTTCTACTCCCTCCCCTAGAGAGGACAAGGTTCAGAAGCAAGATATGAACCTTGGCCTCACATATGCCCTCTTCTCCCTTCTGGAAGAGGGGGGACTCACCTCTGCCCTGAACCTCCCGGACTCTCCGCCTCCAGAGCATGATGCTGAGAGCTAGGATGGTGAATGCTTGGCCCACTGTGAGTGACAGCATCAGGATCCAAGTCACATCCCAGGCCATGGAAGGTACACTGAGGTTAGGAGAAGCATCCATGGAGGCTGTAGTCACAGCAAGACAAGAGGGATAAGGAGGGAGGCAGTGAGGGGACCTGTCCCTGTACCCCAAAGACAAACTCCTCCCAATCTGGTAGGATCTTCCTTCAGAAGACTTCATGAGCTTCCCTGTCCCCAATATCCACCATCCCACTTTGCTCTTTTCCAGACCTCTCCCCCTGACCCCATGGGTAGTAGAAAACCTCAGTAGAGAATGACAGTGTTGCCCTGTTCATATGTGGACAGCTAGCTCTAGAACAGACCACCAGCCAAAACTGCCCTCATAGTAATTCAACTTTTCAAGAAAAAATAAAGTGTCCTCCATTTATTTGTTCTTCCATTCATTCTTTATTCTCTAAGACTTGCTTAGTTTCACCACATGCTAGATACCATATAAGGTGGTAAGGATACAGAGGGCAATAAGGCCCAGCCACTGCCCATTGACTGGCCTTTGATTCCCCAAAGAGTAGCCATTTGCTCCACATCCTGACTTAAATTAGTTATTCTACATCCAATAGTATTCATTCTCTCTTTAATGACCTTTTTTCTACTTTTTTTTTAGAACAAATATATATTTTTTCCTTTTGTCTTCCCTATCAATGGGCCATTAAAACACTAGTGCATATATCCTTTCTTCAAAAGCAACTGCCCCAACAATAATCCTTATTTTCTTCATCTCTGCTATAGGATATTCCACAAAATCATAAATTACACTATTTCTAAACAATGGTATATTCCACTGAAATATATACGTTTTTGCTGCTAGTCTATTCCACCAGAAAGTTGGCTTAACCAATCCCTTTCTCTGTTATGGACTCAGTCAATGATAAAAATTGCCTCCTCCTACCAGCAATGAATGATCTGCTCCAACAGAAGTCACCTCAACCTGTCCCTAGTTGTCTCCTATTCCACCTACTTTCTTATCAGCAGAAGAGGGATGTTCCCCAACTCTGGCACATCTCCTCCCTCGGTTTACCTGCCAGGCTAAAGCTGACTCCTTTATTCTGAGACACGAGGCAGCGGATGATTCTTGGTCTATGGCCCTTGGGCTCAGGAAACCCTTCCCCAGGACACACCAAGAGCAGGGCAGCCCCATCACCCCAGAAGGAATGAACACGTCCTCTCACAGGACCCTTCCCCTCCAGCCAAGTCACAGAGTCCAGACGTCTGACAGGGACCACAGAGCACAATAGGACAGAGCAGGGGGATCCATCTGTAGCCTTTGCAGAGAACTGGGATCCTGTGGAGGAAAGAAGACCTTTCAATTCTTTGGGCTTCCCCAGTCCCTACAGCTTGCGGTCTCTGGGTTCTTTTCTACTCCCTCCCCATTCAACCTTAGGTTCCTATATGACTGGTACCAGGTTATTGGTATCTTACCTTTGAGAACAGAGACATCATACACTCTCCAGTTCTGATACCTGTGGTGCTCACCCAGCACGGTGCACCAGTACCGCCCAGCATCTCCATCCTTGGACCCCTCCAACCACAAGGAATAGTTTCCAAGGAGTTTGAGCCTGGATTCCTTTCCAGGTTTCCTAAGGTTTGGGATTGACCTGGTCATTTGGACCTGGGCCACCAGGATGGTGGAGGAGCCTGCTCCAGGGCTGTGGAACCATGATAGGAGTTCATCTCCACTTAGGGTGGGTGGTGAGGGACACGGCAGCTCCATCGCTTCCCCCAAGGCTACATAGATGACCTGGATGTTGTCTGTGAGAAGACAATTGTATGAGGCCAGAGACCTCCATTGCATCAAGGCCCCACTTGTCCTCCAACCCCTGGCTCCCTCCCTCTATAGGGTCTCCCAGCAGTGACTCAACTGATGAACACATTTCTTAAGTGACAACTACAAAGAAAGAGAGGTGGAAGGAAGAGTGTACAGACTTTCCTTCCACACTCCCCAAGCTGGTAGAAGGGTCTGGAGATGAGAGAAAAGCCTGGAATAGTTGGCAAATGCCCATCTCTTTAGACATTTACTCATCTGCTTTTATTTTCTAAAGGAAAGTGTACATAACCTGGACCCTCATTTCTTCTGGGTCTCCACCAGTGGTAGAGGCAGGGAGAAGTCAAATGGGTGAGTCTGTATTCTTGAGTTGGATGCATTCTCCAGACCTCTAAGGAGAAAGATCAGCAATCCCTCCCTAATCTTGCAAATAGCTGAAATATCTCCCACCTCCTGCCCCTTACCTGTAGCAGCCTGAGGGAGCCCACAGAGGAACAGAAGAAGGAGAAATAAGACTGCCATGGGGAGAGACTGCCAAGTTCTTTCGCTCTAAGACCTGGGGTTACTAGGGAGGAAACAGAAACCCGATAAAGGCCCATACTCCCTGAGCTGGAGTAACATGGGCCTCTGGAAGGGATGAGAATGCTGGGGAGATAAAACCCAGTTGCATGTCTACTGGGGAAAATGACCCCACCTTTCTGTTTTGGGGGTGGAGGAGAAACTGACTCAAGCCACTTTTACGTAGATGGGGTTCCAGGTCTCTATCTCCAGTCAGTTTGGAGGTATATTCTGTGATCTTTCTTCTACTCCTGAGAGATACTAGCCATGAGCCAAGGTCCTGAGTTCTTCATGGAACCCAATACAGAGCTGGACATACAGTAAATGCTCCATAAATGATTGGAGTGAGTTTTGCTGTGGTTTCCTGGTATACCACAGACCTCTCTCTCTCTCTCTCTCTCTCTCTCTCTCCCTCTCCCTCTCTCTCTCTCTCTCTTTAATTGTGAATGAACATTTTTTTTAAAGAGAAAAGAGAGAGAGAGAGAGAGAGAGAGAGAGAGAGAGAGAGAGAGAGAATTTTTAATATTTATTTTTTAGTTCTTGGCGGACACAACATCTTTGTTGGTATGTGGTGCTGAGGATCGAACCCGGGCCGCACGCATGCCAGGCGAGCGCGCTACCGCTTGAGCCACATCCCCAGCCCGTGAATGAACATTTTAATTATTTTTATTTATTTATTTTTTCTGTGGTGCTAAGAATTGAACCCAGTACCTCACACATGCTAGGCAAGCACTCTACCACTGAGCCACAACCCCAGCACCTCTAGAACTCTCGAGAAGTATTCTAAGCTATTAATCAAAGAGAAGAATAGCAGGGATATGGATTATTCATTAATTCATCCCTCTGCTCCAGGCAAGACTGAAGGAAGCTCTTTATACAGTTCTAAAAGTTTTTAATGTGTTATTTATTTTAATTAATTAATTTTGGTGCTAGGGATCAGATCTAGGGCCTCATGCATGCTAGGCAAGTACTCTACCACTGAGCACAATCCCAGCCCCTAAATTAATTAATTTCCTTATTTTTGTTGTACTGGGGATTGAACAGGGCTTTGTGCATACTAAGCAAGCGCTTTGCCACTATCTGCTTGTGTTTTTGAGGTGCTGGGGAATCAAACTGAGAGCTTTGCCATGCTAGCTAGGCAAGTGTTTTACTGCTGAGCCACAGTCTAGCTACTTAAATTTTCCCCCTTCTCCTCCTCCTTCTCCCTCCTTCTCCTCCTCTTCTTCTGTTTTTTTTTTTTTTTCCCCCTGTACTGGAAATTGGACCCAATATCACATTACCATTGAGCTATATCCAGCCCTTTTTTATTTTGAGACAGGGTCTTCCTAAATTGCCCAGGCTGGCCTTGAATTTGCTATCCTCCTGCTTCAGCCTCTCAAGGAACTGGGATTATAGGCATGCATCACTGAACCTGACCTTAAATTATTATGTTTTTTTTCTTGTTGGTGCATTATAGTTATACATAATAGTTGGATTCATTTTGATGAAATGAAGTCATATATGCATGGATTTTAATTTATTCCATTACTGTTCCCAGTGTCCCCCTTCCCTTCCCCTTTCCCTCTCCCTATTCTCCTTACTCTATTGATCTTTCTTTCATTCATTTGTGTAATTATCTAAAAAATTTCAGTTGTAAATGGACATAATACCTTTATTTATTTACTTTTTTATGTGGTGCTGAGAATCAAGCCCAGTGTCTCACGCATGCTAGGCAAGTGCTCTACCGCTGACTATAATCCCAGCCCCTATTTAATCGATTGGTGCTTTAGAGATATACATAAATGTGGAATTCACTATGGTATATTTATACATGCACAAGCATAATTTTGTCAAATTTATTCTTCATTTAAATTATTTTTGCTGATTATTTTTGATGAAATTCTTCATACCAGACTATATATGAGGTACAACTATATAAAAGCTAAAACTGTGAGATATATATATATATATATTTTGTGGGGGGGTACTGGGGATTAAACCCAGAGGGATTTTACCACTGAGTCATATCCCCATCCTTTTATTAAAATTTTTTTAAAAATTTGAGACAGGGTCTTACTAAGTTGCTTAGGGCCTTACTAAGTTGCTGAGGCTGGCCTCAAACTTGCGATCCTCCTGCCTGAGCCTCCCAAGTTGCTGGGATTACTGGTATGGGGCACTGCTGCTGGCAAACTGTGGTATATTTACAGGATGGAACACTGGATAGTAAAGAGAACAAACACAGCCCTGCTATGAAGTTGAATCTCACAAGTGTCATCAGAGTAAAAGAAGTCAGACACAAAGAATATGTATTGTGTGATTTTTATTTATATACAGTAAAAAAAATGGAAAACTAATGTGTTGTGAGAAATTCAGAGAGTGGAATATCTTGGGGGGGGGGCAGATAGCAATTGGCAGGAATCCAGAGGTTCTTCTGGGTGCCATAATGATTTGTTCTTGATTTGGGTGCTGAATATATAGATTTATTCACATCCATCCCTTTTTTTTGTATATGTGTTTACTTCAGTAAAAAACTAGAGTATATATATTATGTAGGTGTAAGATACAATGAAAATAAAACAAATCTGTATATATGTTAAGAAAGAGAACATTACCATTTCAGTCAAAGTTACCTTATACTGTATGCTATTTTAAATTTGGTCTTTGTCTTTCACTTGTTTTATTATTAAATTTTATGTGATTTTGACTTTCATAGAATGCTATCATATTCTATGTATTCTTATGTGGTTTTCTTTCTTTCCCTGAACATGATGGTTTGTTGTGCAATTCCTCCATGCTTGAGAGTGATAATTCATTCATTATAAAAAAAAGAAAGAAAAAAAACAAGTATTACACATACTTTAACAATGTTGTTTTCCTATGATCCTCGTATGGCTCTTCATTTACTTAAGCCTTTGTTTACCTAGTTCAATAACTTTGTTTTTAAATATTTTTTTTAGTTGTAAATGGACCTTTATTTTATTTATTTATATGTGGTGCTGAGATTTTAACCCAATGCCTCATACATGCTAGGCAAGTGCTTCACCACTGAGCTACAATCCAGACTTCAATAACTTTTTTATATTTTTTTCTCATAAAAATCTAGCATTTCTTTTATTCCGTATACTACTAGACACCTTATCTTTTTTATAGCTGTTGTCAAGTGCTCCTAATCTTGTGTTTAGTTAGTTACTGGCACTGGGGACTGAACCCAGGAGCACTTTACCACTGAACTACATCCCCAGCTCCTTTTATTTATTTACTTATTTTGATACTGGGTCTCGCCAAATTACTAAGGCCTCCCTAAATTCCTGAGGTTAATCTTGAACTTGCGATCCTGCCTCGGAGTCCTAACTTGTTGGGATTACAGGTGTGTGCCACAGCGCCGGCAAGTGCTCCTAATCTTAACCAGGGTTTCTGCTATCACTCTAGAGTCTGTTCATATTAGAAAATAGAAAGAATGATTTAACAATTCCGGACAATTTTCTAAATTTCCCCGTTGCAAACGCTTCCTATTAATTTCTGACCATTGCTGTACCCGTAGGTCCAACAGCGCGAAACCCTTCCCAGTAAGCGCTGAGAAAGTCCCCACTCGGCACGAGGCGGAGCCGGTACGTGTTGACGTCAAAGGCACGCAACACCTCAGAGGCAGGGGAGGGCGGGGCCAGTAGGGGGACCTGCTGCTGGAAGAGCAGCGGCCCGAGCCGGGGCCATGGCGAAGCTACTGAGCTGCGTTCTCGGCCCCCGGCTCTACAAAATCTACCGGGAGAGGGACTCAGAAAGGGCCCCATCCAGCGTCCCCGAGACTCCAACTTCAGTCACTAATCCCCCTACCAGCTCCTGGGTGAGTCGAGTTCCTCCCTGGTCAAAAACATGGTACAGCCCAAACCTTTTACGGCCTTTGCTCCCCAGAAGTGCCCACTATTGGAAATAAGGGGAGTCTGCTTGTCAAGCCGGTTGTCCAAAAAGTCTGCGCTGTTTGTGTTTCCAGGGTTCAAGTCACGCCTATGGACTACCCGCCTTCTCTCTTCATCGTTGTTTGAGCACTGCTTTCTCATTCCACTACCAGTCTTTGCTTTTTCCTCCCCGCATCCCCCCCACCCCATCTGTTATGGTTCATGCCGGCCCCACTTGGGTCTCAAGTCCTGCAAGAGACCCTGTGCGATTGGGGATCCGGTGGATTTTGCCGTCATACTCCCAATTTCTTCTTCGGTTTCCTTTGGTGCCTCTCCGGGCTTTGTTTATTTTTCCCTTTAACCTGGCATTGAGTTTCAAAATGACTTCTGCGCATCATGTATCTGCCTATCATGTATCTGCCGTTCTCTCCCCCCCCCCCCCACACACCCTCCAAACCTAGCCTGGAGACCCCAGGGTCATTGCATTTACAAAATCTGCGGGTAGTGATAGGCTATTCCCCTRTTCTCTTCCTTTTATTGTTAGTCTCAAGTTATGTTTACTAACCTCTACAAACTGCCCACTCCTAGCCACATTCTTTCTTTTCTTTTCTTTTCTTTTTTTAAATATTTTATTTTTTAGTTGTAGTTGTAATACCATTATTTTATTTATTTTTATGTGGTACAGAAGATCGAACCCAGGGTCTCGCACATGCTGGGCGAGTGCTCTACCACTGAGCCACATCCCCAGCCCCACATTCTTTCTTAATGAACCTACTCTTATTTCTGTTGCTCTTCTTTCCCTCTTAGAATTGTCATGGTGTCTTTCCTTTCTTCTCACTAACCCTGCTCCCTGTAGGGACATGCTCAACCCATTTGCAACTGGGTTGTGAAAAAGAAGCAAAAGTTGCCCAATACTGCTTTCACTTTTGCTTATAAGTCCAGCACCCTGAGCTTGTTCTCATGGTCAAGGATGGGAAATCATGTTCAGGGTGGGGGTGGGGAGAAAGTCTTTTGTAGAGGCTAGGAGTGTCTCAAGAGAGATAGCCAAGCAGGGTAGAACCAAAGGATGCATATTAGGGCTTTTGAAAGGGA